CATCTTCTTCCTGTTTCAGAAATGGACAACCTGCAGAATCAAAAATGCAAAACAGACCCCCAAGAATGTAACACCCATGACCACCCTCTGACTGTGGACCTTCACATTAAGCCCCTGGAAGGCTTGAGCCAAGTATGACAAGGGACCTAACTCTGTGACCCCAGTCACTCAGCACGAGGGACCAGAGGCCAGTCCTCTAGCCCAGTGAAGCCCCTGATAAGGCCACAGAAGACCCCGATCCCCTTCATAGCTACCTTGGTCAGCCCAGGGAGCAGCTGATCTCACAAGTCAGAAATAGTCAGGCGTGGAGCTGAAAACTGTGCCTGCTCCACACAGCTGCCAAAGTGACTTTCCTGGTCATGCCTTCCTGGTTTTATGCTCCCCCGGTCATGTCTGCCCACAAACTCCCTTTAGCACCAAATGCCCAAGCTCACACCTTGGCAGGCTACCTGCCTCTACTTTTCTGTCTCGAGTTTAAAAAAAACAAAACAAAACAAAACCACTGGGAAGAGCTGACATTATGGCTTATGCCTGTAATCTCAGCACACAGGAGACAGAGGCAGGAGGATTGCCAAGAGTGCAAAGCCAGCCTGGTCTACACAGCGAGATCCTGTCCCCAAAACCAAATTAATAAAGCCTCAATAAAAAACTTAAGTCCATCCTCTCTTAACACCTACCCATACAGTTTTCAAGGTCCCATGTAAATACCAGGAACTCCACAAAGCCCTCCCAGATCCCCAGCTAGATATGGCCCCTCCCTTTCTCAGGGCCAGGGGAGCGAGTGTCTAGGTGTGAAAATTCAGTGTTGCAGGGGATACAAATAACAGTGGACTAGACAGGGTATCCTGGGCCCAGAGGAACTACTAGTTCAGCTTGGACTGGAGGACAGGCAGCACCAGTAAGAGTCACAGCAGAGGCGATGCTGGACAAAGCTACTAGCAATGAACAGGACACTGGGGGTGTGGGAAGGCAGGCAGTGTGTATGTAGAATCTGGCAGACAGCCCTCCCTGTGTGGCTCCAGGAACCAGTAGGGAGGTAGAGGAGATCAGAGCTGTAGATGGACAGTGGCTGGTAGAGGGAAAGCCTCTACAAGGCAGGCATACAGGACCAAGAGTGGAGACCACCAAGGCAACTGCTGCGAAGTGGGCAGTCTCTTCTCGTTGGTCCAATCACAGGACGGCCCCTCTGTGACTGTGACTGGCTGCTCCAGGACTCACACCTGCCACCTGCTGCCCTTCCCACCCCAATGTGCTGACTTTTCTTGGAGAACAGTAGTCCTTTCCTGTCCTCCCCTGGAACCAGAAGCAAAGCACCATGATAGACCACTGGATCGGACATGTACTCACGTTGGCCTTCTGCTTCTCAGCCTGTAACTGGGCATCGATCTCCTCAGGGCTTGTATACTGCCTCACCCGGCCTTTGTGGCCTCCCTTTCTACCTGCACAAAGATCAGAAGTTCAGGAAGGTGAGAGAGAAGGCTGCCTTCTTTGCACTGACCCCGGAAGGCTGTCCTTTTTGGGGCAAAGGAACCTCACCCACCCCCATCAAGTACCACCCAAACCTACAATGTTCCCAAAGAACAAAAGCAGCAGCTTATTACATCTGATGTACAACTCGTCAGATGTAGGTTCCTAACAAGACCTGAGGTGAGGAAAGGAAGATGGAGTCTGACCGAATCCTGTTTTCTTAAAATGCAAATATGGCTGGGTGTAGTGGTCCACATCTTTAGTCCTAGCACTCCAGACTGCAGGGGCAGGCAAGATATAGACCTCTTGAGTTCTAGGCCAGCCCAGTCTACATATGGAGTTGCAGGCCAGTCAGGGAACATAGTGAGACCTTGTCACAAAGTCCAAACAGTGTTCTTAGGTACAAGCAAGGAAGCAGGAAACATGTATGCCTTTTCTGGCACTACAAAGCTTTTGAGTTTAATACTCTGTCACAAGCTCATCTGATCCTTAGAAAGAAGGTACAGTACAACAGCCATTGCTGGTTTTCTACCACAGGGAAGGAGACTCTGTCAAGCAAAGTGCAAAAGAAGAAGAATCCTGAAGCCTAAAGCTCTGGGTTTACCACTCCCTTCATCTGTGGCTCTCTGGGCAGGCGTATACTTTGCCAGAGTCTCAGTGTCTCTTTTTTTCCCATAAGGCTGCCATGAAAATAAACTGGTTACCATTTGAAAAGCAGCTGGAACCAGGCGCGGTGGCACACGCCTTTAATTTCTACACTCAGGAGGCAGATGCAGGCAGATCTCTGTGAGTTCAAGGCCAGCCACACTGTTACAAAGAGAAATCCTGTTTCAAAAAATAAAAACAAAACAAAACAAAAAGAAAGCAGCTGGAATTGTGTGTGGCATTGGATAAGCAACACAAAATGTCTGCTAATCTGTTCTAATATATTGCTTGGTAGAAAAACATATGCTATCACTGGCCCCATAAAGGAACTACTGCCAATGGCAGTGGAAAGAATAAAACACTCCATCTTGATTATATGAAGAGAATACTAACAGGATAAAAGCCCAAAATCTACCAGCAGAAATTCTGTGTTTAGATTTAAACTAGCAAATGGGGCTAGAGAGATGGTTCAGCAGTTAGGAGCACTTGTTGCTTTCAGACAGCCCTGGCTGGTTCCCAGCACCCACAAGGCAGCTCAAAAACCATCTGTAGGCTGGGTGGTGGTGGCACAAGCTTTTAATCCCAGCACTCAGGAGGCAAAGCCAGTCAGATCTCTGAGTTCAAGGCCAGCCTGGTCTACAGAGTGAGATCCAGGACAGGCACCAAAACAACACAGAGAAACCCTATCTTGAAAAATCAAAACAAACCAAAACATCTGTAACTCCAGTCCCAGGGTGATTCAATGTTCTCTCCTGACCTCTCTGGTCACTCTGGTCTCACATGGCACACTTACATACATGGAGGCAAAAAACTCTCACTCACATAAAAAAAATTAAACTGGCAAAATTAAAGTTGAATACAGATCTAACAGCAATCTAACACTGACCAGGACTATCAGTGACAATTCATCTAAGAGGTTAAGTTCTATACCCTGATGCTCTAGCCAGAACACTAGACCAATTCCTGCTAAAGTCTGTCTTATAGCTGGGCGGCAACTCCTCTGCATCCTGCAGCCTATACTGCCAGGCAGGACCTCTCTCGATTTCTGAAAGCCCCTTGCTGTGAGTAGAGAATCTGTAATTAGACAGCCGGAACTGCTCCAAGCTCTGGAGAACACTGCAGAGACACTGATTTCCTAGACAGCAGCTGCAGAGCTGTAATTGGGCTGCCACAGCCCACACCACCCATTTTTAATGACTACCTGAGTTCCCAGGTGTATCTAGGTATGTTCATGAAAGGCCTATTGTGAGATACCAAGCTTGCCATTAAACAAACAAACAAACAAAAACAAAACAACATCCTTTTTTGCATATTCCAGGTAACAACTCAAAACTGGTCATTACAGGCCCTCATTCCCTACACTTGTCTATGGAATACTGACCTTAGCTTGGTTTACAGCGGCTCTTTCAAGACTCTAAAAATAATTCACAGTATGATGAAAACAGAATTGGTCCTTTGCTCTTGGGAATTTTTTTTTAATAGTTTTATCAAGCAAAGAAACAAGGCTTGTCTGCTTGCAAAGATTTTCACAAATCAAAAGACTAAGTCTATTAGCCAGGATTCCATATTTAAGACTGAGGGACTGTAATTGCCAACCCTGGAGTGAAAATTCTGGAGCTGGAAAAGTTCCTCTGCGTCTTACAGATGAGACCGAGGAAGAAAAGAGTCTTCCAGACTCAGAATAAATCAGCAGAGAAGTAGGTTTAGCCGCACTTGGCGCTGTAAAGCCTAATATCTGAATATTGACAGGAAGCAATTTAGGCTTGAAAAAGCTCCAGGCAGATGTTCCTGTAGGCTGATTGCATTAACTGGCTTAACACGTGAGCTACCAACATTAACTGAACATCTGTTCTGTGCCAGAAGCGAGTCAGGACCTTAGAGCGATCTATTCTATCATCGTGTAACTCTGGTCTCCAACTCATCAAGCTAAGCCTTATTCATACCCCTGTAGTTCAGATGAAGATGAGCTAGAAGAGGTTAAAATCTTGTTTGAGGCCACAAAATTAAGATGTGATATATCTGGTATTCAAATCCCCGATTCTAAAAGGGAATGAGAACGTTAAGATGGGAAACGCGGTCTTCTTGGTCCCTCCACACAGTAACAGTGCTTGCCTGGGCATTTAGGGGATACCGAGCACTGGACTGAGTACTTGGGTCCCCTAGTTTAAGCCTCAAAACAGAGCAAGAGGTAGAGATAGAATCAATGCCTCCCCATTTGGGAACGACAAAACCGAGACACAAAGAAGTTAGGCGACTGGCTCAGAGACACATCCTTAATGGCTACCGCGCAAGGGAGAGAGTGCAAGGTGGTCCAGGATCCAGATAACTAAGTCAGGCTCTTATTATGAGGCAGGCGTGGCCGAGTTGGAGCCCGACAGAAGCCACATTTTATGCTCGCGGCAGACAGGCTCCGCACTCGCGCGGGACGCGGTGACTCAGTCTCCGGCCAGCCAAGTGGGAGGATAACTTCAGACGCTCCCCAGGCTCGAAGGAGCGACTCCTGGGTCCCGCTTTCCTCGGCGGCGAGGACCCAGGGCCAGGGAATCTCCTTCAAACCCCCGATGGCGAGGCTCTCGACCACTGCGAGCCTCAGTTTCCCAGTCAGGACAATTGAGCGTCGAGGCCCACGCTCGGCTGTGAGGCGGCGGGGATGGCCTCCTTCGGCGCGGATCTCCTAGAGATCCGCGGGCTGAGGGGACGGCGGCAGCCCACCCACGGCCGCCCCTAGCGGGGCCACGCGAACCACGCGCGCCCACCCCCTCACCTCCTTTAGGCATCTCGGCTGCGGCGGCTGCAGCGGCGGCGGCGCCTCGAACTGACACCGGAACCGGAAATGCCTTGGGCTCGACTTCTTCCGCCCGGCCCAGTCCCTCTCCGCGCGCGCCGCCGCCGCCGCCGCCGCCGCCGCCGCCGCTGCCGCGAGGAACGGGGACCTCACCGAGGCCGGGCTGTCTTGCGAGTTGCCTGAATCCCTGGCCCGACCGCGTGCTGCCAGGCAACCGCACTCCCCGGTATCCTGGTCCGGGGAGACGCGTTGCTGTGCCGGCCACCCCAACAGGAAGTGAGAGGAAAAGGGCCGTAGGGTTTCCGGAATTCTACAAAGGCAGCGCCCGAGCACCTAAGGTGACGCAATCCCCGCGCGAGGTGGGCGGGGCCCCGCGAGGGCCTTATTCTGAAGAGTTTCTCACCCGGGCGGAAGCCGTCAATAAAGAAGCGGCGGCCGTAGGTGCTTGTTCTTCCGGTGAGTGTTTGTTTCCTCTGTTCTCGAGTCCCGTATCTTTGGCAACGGTTACGGCCAAGAAGGCGATCTGAGCGGCAGAGGCTGGAGTCCCCGATGACTTGGCGCCTTTATCGTTCTGCACAGGGGATGGTAGATTTGGGGCTCTTTCTCGGTCTCCCCTCTCTCCCCCCATCACGTTTTCTCTTCCGGGACCGTTTTCTAAGTACTGCTTGTTTCTCAAATGCTGGTCTCTGAGTTTCCCCCAATTCCGGTCTGTAACTTCCCTTTCGTTCACCTCCTTCCCCAAACTCCTTTAGTTTGTAAACCGACCAACACCTCTTTTCTCCTGATACGTTCACCTCCTCGTTTTAACTCTCTCCTGACCCGAGAATCTTCCGGGCTGAATTCTCCGGGGTCAGGAGAAAGTGATTCTCTAAGTCAGGCTGAGAAGAGATCAGACTCCATCCACCTCTTAACTTTAGTGCTGGGAAAACCGGTGCAAAGACCACTGATGGAGAAGTCTGGAGCCTCTAGTCAGTCAGAATGCCAATTCTCAGCTATGTGACCCTGAGTCCACCTCTTAGTGTTTGATTCATTTTTTTTTTTTGATTGATTTGTAAAACTGTTAAGGAGAGGTGTGTGTGTGGGTGGGGGGATTGTAAAATATCAGTCACCATACAGTGGGTGGGACTGAATACATTTGGAAGAGATGAGTGGGTTATGCTTACAGGTAATACATGACCAGGGTTCTCTTTGCCAGCTAGAAAGCATAATGCAATTTGAAAAGATGCTTTTTATCTTTTAGGTGGTTAAAGGCGTGGTTGTGTACACCTTTAGTCCCAAAAGACAGAGGCAGTGGGATCTCTGTGAGTTCGAGGGGGGCATGGTCTACAGAGTGAGTTCCAGGACAGCCAGGGCTACACAGTGAAACTCTATCTTGAAAAACAAGAAAGAAATGGAAAAAAAGATACTTTTCTATTGTTATGTGTTGCTTTGGCCTTTGTTTATTGTGTGTAATCTATTGCTCTCATTTTACAGATAAGACAGAGGTCCAAAGAAGAAAAGTGATCACCCCAAAGCCACAGAATAATTGATAAATCTGGACAAGAACACAGGCTTGTAACTGCAGAGACCAGGGATTTTTATATATTCTCATAGGAAAGAGGTAGAAAGTACTGTGCTTTTTATACTCAAGTTTTTCCCCTTGAAACTGTCATCCCTGGGGTTCTTCACTGAAAGGCTTACATTGTAATTGGCTTTTAATCAGTTCTTCATGATGACCCCATAAGGTAGACCTTAATATCCTTATTTTTTATTTTTTATTTTTTTGGTTTTTTCGAGACAGGGTTTCCCTGTGTAGCTTTGCGCCTTTCCTGGAACTCACTTGGTAGCCCAGGCTGGCCTCGAACTCACAGAGATCCACCTGGCTCTGCCTCCCAAGTGCTGGGATTAAAGGCGTGCGCCACCACCGCCCGGCAATATCCTTACTTTTACAGGCAAACTTTTTTTTTTTTTTTTTTTTTGGAGACAGGGTTCATGTAGTCTAGATTGGCTTCAAACTCAACCAGATATCCAAAGATGGCCTTGATCTCCTGATCCTTTTGCCTTCACCTTGGATTAGAACTGTGTGCCACCATTCCGGTCTAGGGAAGCTAAGTAGCTGTTTGGGGCCTTCTGGATAATGATCTTCTGTGGGCATACTTTTGGTTTTGGATACAAGCCGAAGCAACAAAATAAATAGAGAGAAGTGGGAGGGAGGAGTAGATAGCAAAGTATCAGCAGAAATCAGCTGGGGAAGCCACTTGAAGGCACCCAGCTGGAGTGCCCGATAGAGTTTTGGCTATAGTGTCCACTCAGATGAGACTTGTGAGCAAAACAACAAATTTCAGTAAGTAGAGATTGATGTCATCAGATCTGCTGCTCACCACATCCAGCAGAAACTGACTGGGGAAATTGAAGCAGTCACCTGGAGTTCTGATGGCTGAAGTTCCAGGTTCTCTTTTCTACTGTAGACATTTTTACATTGTGAGATAAACAATAGTAACTGTTGGAAATAGATTACCTTCCAGCAGCTCTCAAGGCCATGGTGTGTTCACTTTTGGTCTGCTTTGCTGTTCTCATTCCTCCCTGTTGTAGAGTTGGGGCGTGCGTGTGTGTGCCCATTCCTAGATAAAGGACTGGGGAGGATGCTGAGACATATGTGCTTGGTTCTGAAATAGGGGGTGCTGTGGCTTTCCCAGAGCCAACTTCTAGACGAGCTCAGAAAACATAGGACTTACTGACATACATTACACTTTCTGAGCTTGACAGCCTGAGGAGCAGAGCTGCAGTATGGACTCAGGCAGTCTGGATAGGAGTCCCTTCATGGAGCTACTTACTGCTCTTGCTGCTTTGAGTAGATGAATGTGCACCAGTAATGGCTGCCAAAGGCCTTTGGCAATCTGAGACTCAGAAATCACTCGACTTTCTCCTAGGTCTTTATCAGCTATCTTGCTGGGAAATGCCCAAAGTCAAAAGAAGCCGGAAAGCTCCTCCAGATGGCTGGGAGTTGATTGAACCAACACTGGATGAATTAGATCAAAAGATGAGAGAAGGTGAGTGGTGGTGCCCCTGCCTGGGTAGGCTGGGTGAAGTGTCAAGGCTCCGGTGCCTCCAAGGATAGACAAACATCTATGAGAAGAGGCTTGTTGCAAACTGGTCAAGTTTTGTTTACTTAGAATGCTTGAAAATTCTGAAATCTAAGATAACATTAATGAAAACATCACCCCCCCTCCAAAACAGAAAAAAAGGTGTTTTATTTATTATTAGCATATGTATTTGTGAGAGAAAGATCAGGTGTCTTTTTCACTTTTAATGTTTTGTTGGAGACAGGGTCTATGTAAATTCTTCTTCATAATTTTTGAGGTATTGTCTCTACATAGCTCTAGCTGTCCTGGACCTGTGTAGATCAGGCTGGCTTCGAACTCATGGAGAGCTGCCTGCCTGTGCCTCCCTAGCACAGAGATAAAAGGTGGACCACCACAAACCCCAGCTTACTCTATGTGTGTTTTTTTTTTTTTTCTTAAGATTTATTTTATATTGGGGGAGGGTTATATGCATGGTCGTACAGGTGCCTGGGGAAGCCAGAAGAGGGTGTCAGATCCCCTAAAGCTGGAGTTACAGGCAGTGGTGAGCCACCATGACACGCATGGGTGCTGGGAACTGCCCCATTATGAAGCATTTTTATTCATGCTTTTTTTTTTTTAATTTTTTTTTATTTTTGAGACTCTGTAGCTTTGACTGGCTTGGAACTCTGCTACATATTCACATTTTTTTTTTTTTTTTGGTTTTTTTTTTTTTTTTTTGACACAGGGTTTCTCGGTGTAGCTTTGCACCTTTCCTGGAACTCACTTGGTAGCCCAGGCTGGCCTCGAACTCACAGAGATCCGCCTGCCTCTGCCTCCCAGTGCTGGGATTAAAGGCGTACGCCACCACGCCCGGCTCACATTCTTTTTATTGGTCTTTGAAAATCTCCTTTATCCCTTGGTCTTTGCACCACGTTGCAGTTTCTACAACACAGCGCCATAGTAGTTTTGTGTTTTGGGAGTCATGGCAGTCAGCTTGTCTCTGGAAATTTTATCTGAAGCCTCAAGCATATGGTAGCCTTTGGTGAGCACAGTATGTCCTAGTTTGATTGCTCTTACTGTGGTAAAACACCCTGACCAAAAACGACATAGGGAAGGAAGGGTTTTATTTGGCTTAGAATTCCAGGTTACAGCCTGTCCTTGAGGGCATGGTAAGGCAGAAACTAAAGCACACGCATCCACAGTCAAAAGCAGAGGACAGGGCTGGAGAAATGGCTCAATGATTGAGCACTTGCTGCTCTTCCTGAGGACCCAGGTTCATTTCTTAACACCCACATGTCTGCTCACAACAGTAACTCTAGGTCCGGGGGTCCAATACCTTCTGACATCCATGGGGACCAGCTACACATATAGTGCACATACATATATGCAGGCAAAACACTCATACATAAACTAAATCTAAGAAACTTTTTTTAAAAAGTGATAAATACACACATGCTGTTTGCTCAGTACAGAAGTTCAACTAGCTTTCTCAGGCCACACACACATATTCACTTAGGCCAGCTTGATCTAGCTCACTGCTCCAATGAGGCCCCCTTAGGTGATTCTAAGTCCTGGCAAGATGATAATTAAAAAACATCTTCCAGTATGACTACTTTTTGTGTGTGTGTGTGTGTGTGTGTGTGTGTGTGTGTGTGTGTGTGTGTGTGTGTGTGGTAGGGGTGTGGTGTGAGAGTGGTGAATGCACAAATGTGTACTACAAAGCATAGGTAGAGGTTAGAGGACAACTTACTGGAGTCAGTTCTCTCCACCATGAAGGTTCTAGGGATCAGACTCTTACTGGTTTTGGAAGCAAGCACCCTTATCCACTGAGCTGTCCTATCAGCCCCCTGAATTGCTGCTTTTTTTTGTTTTGTTTTTGTTTTTCGAGACAGGGTTTCTCTGTGTAGTTTTGCGCCTTTCCTGGAACTCACTTGGTAGCCCAGGCTGGCCTCAAACTCACAGAGATCCACCTGCCTCTGCCTCCCGAGTGCTGGTATTAAAGCCGTGTGCCACCACCGCCCGGCAGATTGCTACTTTTTTAAAATTTATTTTTATATATGAATTTTTTGCTTCATGTGTACTGTGTTTTGCCTGGTGTTTGCAAAGGCCAAAAGAGGGATGTTGGATCCCTGGAACTGGAGTTACAGTTACGATATGAGCTGCCACCTAGGTGCTGGGAATAGAACCTGGGTTCTCTGCAAAAGCAGCTAGTGCTCTTAACCACTAAGCCATCTCTCCAGCCTCCCTTGAATTGCTATTTAAAACAATCTTTGAAATAGCTGTTTACAGCTAATCTGATCATTGTTATTATGAGATCAGACCTGCAGCAATAACTACTAAGTCACTGTTAACGTGGCTTTCTCTTTGCATAACTGGCTGTGCCAGGGTCTGGTAGATACCCAGAACTTGCAGGAGTCAAGGTTGCTATGGGAGAGATTTCTTGACATGGCTCTGTGAAAGTAAAGGAAATTAGAGTGTGGATGAAAAAGAGTCTATCTTCAGCTCTCTGATGTGTTCCTAAACTCATGGTAACTCTATTTAACTTCTTGGGGAATTGCTAGACATTTTCTACATCATTTTGCATTCTGCTAGAAGGGCTTAGGATTCCAGTTTCTTGTCCACTCTCGTAATTGTTTTCATTACTGTCCCCATGGGCAAAAAATAATCATAGCTGTAGTTAAGGAAGCAAACATGCAACATGCTATGCAGACTGACTCTCTCCTAAACCATACATTCTTTTTTCTCTCCAGCTGAAACTGAACCCCATGAGGGAAAGAGGAAAGTGGAATCCCTGTGGCCCATCTTCAGAATCCATCACCAGAAAACCCGATATATCTTCGACCTCTTTTACAAGAGGAAAGCCATAAGCAGAGGTAAGTGTGACTGGCTAAATACCTTGACCTTTAAAAAGCCATTGTTACTATGTTCACATACATGAAGAGGCAAGTGCTTCCCGAGGCTTCCATGTGGAGGATACGGGACAACCTACAGGAGTTGGTTCTCTCCTTTTGCCATGAGGGTCTGGGGGATCGAATTCGGGTTATTAGGCCTGTATGAAAAGCATTCTTGGCCCCTGAGCCATCTTGCTGACCCTCTTGACCTTTTTGTACTTGAGTGGTTTTCAGAATTTATATAGTGGTTCATAAGAAGCTGGGTGTCACCAGGCCTGGTAGCACACGTCTTTAATCCCAGCACTTGGGAGGCAGAGGCAGGTGGTTGTCCGAATTCAAGCCCAGCCTGGTCTACAGAACAAGTTCCAGAACATTCAGGGAAGTTACACTGAGAAACCCTGCGGGGAGGGGAAAGCTTAAGGAAAAAGCTGGGTGTTACTGTTCAGACCTATAGTTTCCGCACTTGGAAAATAGAGGCAGGAAAACTTGAGAATTCCAGGCAAGCCTTAACTGAGATCCTGACTCCAAAAAACAATGATTGTCTTTGCATACCCAGCAAACATCAGTTTTCTTACCACTGATGAAGAAATTAGTTTTTGTTGTTTTGTTTTCCCCAGAAACAAGGTTACACTAATGTAGCCCTGGCTGGCCTGGAACTTACATAGACTGACTGGCCTCAAACTAACAATGCTTTACCTGCCCCTGCCTGATTTGGTTTGTTTGTCTTTAGTTTTTTTTCTTTTTTGTTGAGACAGGGTTTGTGTAGTTATAATTCTCCTGGAACTGGATTTGTAGACCAGGCTGGCCTCAAACTCAGAGAAATCTTCCTGTCTCTGCCTCCCAAGTGTTAGGATCAAAGGCTTGTGCCACCATACCCAGCTTAGTTTTCCTTTTTAATCCAGGGTGAAGGCAGGTTTGTTGTGCCATGTTCTGATACCTTGTCTCACCTTTCTGATAGAACTCTACGAATACTGCATTAAAGAAGGCTATGCAGACAAAAACCTGATTGCAAAGTGGAAAAAGCAGGGCTACGAGAATCTGTGCTGCCTACGCTGCATTCAGACTCGGGACACCAACTTCGGGACGAACTGCATTTGCCGGGTTCCCAAAAGCAAGCTGGAAGTGGTAATGCCTGATGGCTAGATGGGGAATTATTTTCTGTTTAAAGCTCAGGTTGACCATAGGGGTATTTTGGGAAGTTTTGTCACTGGAAGCCTGCTAGCCATCCTTCCCAAGAATGATTCCCTTCTGATCAGGGATCCTTGGGTGGAATCTGGTAGTTGGTCTGAGTTGTAGGGCTGGTCTCAGTACTACCTGTGGGCAAATAACTGAACTCTTTTCTGAGGGAGTAGTAATGGCAATAGCTGTGAGGTGCTGAGAGGGCTACACTGGGGTGGCCACTAGACAACCTGTCCCTTTCTCTCTAGTCTCATGGTGACATTAATCTCTGCATGTCTTCTGTCTGAACTTTGTTCCAAAGCCAGGAATGGTAGCTCATGCCTTTAATCCCAACATTTGGGACACCAGCCTGGGCTAGTACTGAGATTATGTTTCAATAATAATAATAATAATAATAATAATAATAATAATAATAATAATAATAATAATAATGGTTTCAGGCACCTGGCAATGGTGTTGGTGTATAGTGGCTGAGCTCTAGTATCCAGACCCTTGAAATGGAATACCAGGACATCAGGCCAGATAGGCCATCCACTCAGCTTGACCTTTGTTTTCTCTCATTACATTGAAGCAGGACTCAATTCCCAGTTTTCATTCAGTGCAGATGGCCTCAGCTCAGCAGACAGCTCTGTTCTCTGTGCCAAAGATGGGGCTCTGGTGTGGATGTGCCAATCCATGGCTAGTGATCGATGGCTACTTCCCAAGAGGAGGCTCTTGGTGTCTCAGCCTTTGGCTTAAGCTGATCTTCAGGGCTGGAGTTTGTTCAGTTGTTAGAGGGCTGCCTAGTATGCATGGAGCCCTAGTTCCATCTCCAGTGCCCTATAGAACCAGATGTGGTAGTACACATCTGTAGACTAGCACCGGAAATCCAGGTCATCCTTTATGAGACCCTGTCTCAAAGATTTAGCAGAGCTTCACCAGAGAACTTTATTTGCTTAAAATGTGCTCTTGGTCTCTAGAAAAAAAGGTAAAGACGCATTGCTCCAGTCCGCCAGCCAGCCACTGTGCCCTTGGGACAAGATGTTTCTGGCTACGGGAACTTAAGTGCGCACCTTTTGCCTGGTGGCCTCAAGAACTCTGGCCTCAGCCCCCTAAGCAGTAGCAATCCCACCAGGAGAAAAAGAAGGCTGCCTTATTGTCAGGTGGTCATACACCTTTAATCCCAGCACTAGGGAGGACAGAGGCAGCTGGATCTCTGAGTTCAAGGCCAGCCTGGTCTACAGAACAGAGTAAATTCTAGGACAGCCAGGACTATTATACAGAGAAACTTTGTCTCAAAAACAAAAGGCTGGCTTACAGAGGATCCTTTGTGGCACATCTTTAATCAGTCAAACACAGACATATAACTTTGGGCTAGTAGTAGCTGTTTCCATTTTCACAAAGAAGCTGAAATACCCAAATGGAACTGTCTAATAGAGATGTCCTTCAGGGAGTGTTCCATCAGCAGCTGTACAGCAGGTTCCTATAGGTATGTGCAGGGCTGTAGCAGTATATACAGATGTCTCCTTCCTCTGTTACAGGGTCGCATCATTGAGTGCACGCACTGTGGCTGCCGAGGCTGCTCTGGCTGACACCCTTGACCCCTCCCTCTACATTCTGGACTTTGGGCCTTGTTGGCTCCTGACTATTGGACCACCCCCGTCCTGGAGCAGCTCTTCTCAGAGTGGTGCCCAGAGAAGAGACCCAGAGGGAGCATGGGCTCTACAGGTGAAGGCTTCAGTGTTTACTAGCTGAAATCTGTAAAAATAAAACCTTTAGACCTCTTGGCTATATTCATTCTTTTAGAGCAGTGGGCTGTGGAATGCAGGGGATGGGCTCAATGTCATAGACACTGTGTGACCAGGAGCATAACCTTTCTCACCAGTGATAGGGAGGGCACCCTGGGCCCAGCATTTGTCCTCACGCCTGTGCCTGTAATGCTTCAGTGCCTCTAGAAAGGTGACACCAGCATATTCTCTTGGGTTCCATCAGCACTGTGAAAGCTGGGTACTTGTCATAGCAGCATGCTCCATCACCTGTCCCTAAGGCCTTCACCAACACCAGCATTCCCAGTGGTGTCTTGGTTCCCCTTAGGCTTGGTCTGGAACTCCTGCCAGGGGTGGGGGGCTTCCTCTGCTGGCATCACTTTCAGCCACTGCTTGTAATATGCTCGAAAACCATCGATCTTCTCCAAGTAGGTGTTTTTCCCTTTGTACTGTAATTTGAAATGAACAGGACTGTGTCAAGGTGAGTGACATACATGGACAAAAGCTTCACTATGAAACCCATCACTGTACAATGGATACAAAAAACACTAGGAAAAGTAGGGAGTTCAGAAATGTTCTCAGCCAGTCCAAACCACTGCATGTCACCCAAAGCTAATAACCACCCACAGCAGCTTACCCCTGCTCATCTTTCCTCAAGGAGAATACAGTGGACAGGGTAGAAAAATGGACATTAGATTCACTGCTGTGAAGAGTGAAGTTCCAGTTAAATCTGCTGTATTTGGGTTAGGACAGACTGCCCTTTGCCTAACTAGTCTAAGGGCACTGTAGTGCTCCTAAACCTGTGGAGGTCATCTCCACCCACAGCTAGAATTGAGGCATCCCATCAACTCTGCCTCTGTTCTGCTGAGCTGTTGCCCTCCTTCTGACCTATCACCTTGGACCAATGCAGCATCTCCTTGCAGGGAGGAGAGGTACGGAGAGTTGAAAACAGCTGGTGAGGGGCTACATAGGAAAAATAAGCCAAACCAAAAAGGAAGAAGGAAAAAACAAACACAAAACAAAACCCTGTTAAAACACAATACTAAAAGTTTGAATTTAAGATTTTTAAGTTTGAGCTGGGCCTACGTAGAGGTACATGCCTTTAATCCCAGCACTTGGGAGGCAGAGGCAGGCTGATCTCTGAAAAATGCACTCTTGTACCCATGCCTCATGCTATAATCCCTGTGCTAGGGAGACGAGACAGGAGACAAGACTGCAAGTCTAGCCGGACTGATGAGCTTCAGTGAGATCCTGTCTAAGAAAGAATCTGTGAGTGGCAGAAGGCGTTAAGTGGTCTTAGGCCTTCAGTTGCACCCAGGGCCCCTCTGTAGGCACTAAGCAATAAGACCACAGATGTTCAGATAGGCCTAATGCTTGGCACAGTCTGCCCCCTTAACCCACTCATTCTTACTCAGCCTTCACTTAAGTGCTACACATGGGAGCCATCCCTGAGCACTCCCCAAGTGTGCTCTTACCCATTCACTGTCTCCCTCCCCCCCACCTGGTTTGTGTCCTAGGCCATAGTTGCCATTCAGTGCTCTGGAAAGAGCACAGGGCCTGACTCAACAGAGCCCCATACCAAAGTACAGAGCCTGATGTCCCTGAAGGGGGATATGTGCAGTAGCCTTTATCAAATTGTATCACTGGTGGTGCATCTGCTCATCCACTGAACAGGTAAGTACTGAGCACCAAACAACACAAAGCACTGGGAAACCAGGTGGGCAAGGCACAGTCTCCACCTTTCTAAGCCTAGGTGGTTCAGTGAAGACAAGAACCTTGTGTGAACATAGTAAACCATGGCATCAAGACCATCTGTGGGGGAAGGGAGGCATATCTGAGAAGGGCTACTTAAGCTGGACATAATGGTGCACACACTTGCAAGATGGAGACAGAAGAATCAGTACACGGCCAGCGTGAGTTACCTGAGACTGTCTCAAAATAAAAAGTGGGCCGGAGAGATAGCTTAGTGGTTAAGAGCACATACTGTTCTTCCAGGGGACCTGAGTTCAGTTCCCAGCATCCACACTAGGCAGCTCACACCACCTGTCAGCTCCAGGGGATTCAATGTGGCTCAGGGCCTTGGGTTTCTCTTAAAGCTGCTGAACAACTTTCAGCAAGAAAATGAATGTCAAGCCCCAAAGGCCAAAACCAGAGATGGCAGCAGCTGAGGCAATGGTGAGCACTGTAGAATGGGCGCACCTACCCGGTCAAAGGTGGGAGGGTACTCGGCAGCAAACTCGAGCTGGCGGATGATTACTTCGTTCACTGGGACACTGTTCCGCCTCATGTCCTTCAGGATATCAATGAGATAGGCATAGTCCAGCTTCTTGAGGGCCACGTTGATGAGTGCGCTGTAGATGTGGGTGTTAGGGGTCATCTGGGATTTCTAGAACATGAACATCACATGGTCAGCAGGATGATGGTGACCACAGACAGGTACCAGGAACAAGAAGGGTGGGACCACACAACAACCGCTGTCTGACACCGTACAAAAGCTCGTATGCCCTATCACAACAGCCCTGAAGAATTCGGGAGGAAGACAGGCAGGAAATGAGGTGTGAAATACCTCCTCACTCTTGGCCACAGTTTATTGGTTGACAGTGTCGTCACCACAAGGTGGGGGTCAGTCTGTAACAGCTAACATTAGTGCGGTGGTAGAACGTGTGGACACAACTGGGTCCTTGGAAGTGGCCACTGCTGGGGTTGGCTGGAATCAACTCAGCAAGCTCTCATGAGAGGGCCAGAGAGAATGAGCATGAGAGCAAGCCAGGGTTGAAAACTATGCTGTGCCCACAGACCTAGTTCATCTCTTCTCTGGACATAGCTCCCATTCCTCCAGGATGTTGGGGTTCAGCCCCATTCACATCTTTCCATTGGAACCAACAGCACCTTCAAGATGGATGTTCTCTGAGCCAGTTTCTATAGTGGCTCACAAAATCTGCTTGTTCCCAGAGGGGGACATGGACACTAGAAGGGATGCTGTCCCACTTGCCCTGTTCCACACTCATTTGATCCTGCTGGGTCCCATTTTCCCCACAATTTTCTTGCTGAGAACTCCCAGAGTTCCCCCAGAACTGTAGGCATCCTGCTGGGGTCTCTCACCTTCATGTCTGCAAGCAGCTGCATACCATCCTTGGGCCTACGGCACCCAATGGCCAGGCTGCAGAAAGTTCGAAGATTGGGGACAATTCCCTTCTTTGCCAGGATTGGCAACAGCGCCTGTAGGACAGACATGCAGCTGTTACCTGAGACCCATAAGTCCTGGCCAGATGTCCTGATGAATCCCTTTTGTGGATGCTAGAGACTGAAGGACATAACTGCTCAGAAGCCTCTTGACTCCCTCAGCTGACTGTATGGCACTCCTGGTCTCCACTCAGCACTCAAGATTCCATGCCCTTTGCCCTTCATGTCTCTGACCTTCCTATCCTGTGTCAAGCTCCTTGGCTGCCCCTCCCTGTACTGGGCCAAGGAACCAGAAGCTCCTGTTGCGAGCAGGAAGCAGCGCTGACCAGTATGGGAAGTGCTGGCTGAGGGAGCCCCAGGCCTGGTATGAGAAAGAGGGCACCTTTCAGCCTGGGTAGGGCCCCAGAGAAGGACCGTCTTCCTAGCTTGTCTAGAGTAAGGCGTGCTCTGCACTGTGACCATTTCTCTGTCACCTTTGACCCTCACAGATGCCCAGGGCACTGCTTCTGTCAAAGCACATCACATAAAAACTGTGCAAGTGAGAAAACCCAGCCTGGAGCCTAGCTATCACCTCTGTGATATGGGGAATGCTGCACACAGCCAGGCTGTGCCTCCTGGCCTGTCCAGGAGAGAAGCAGATAGACCTAAAGCTGACAGCACAGAGTAAGTGCAGCGTCGGGAACATAGTTGAGGAGACGGGAATGCTCTGGATTTGTACTGGGATGCCTCATGGGGAGATGCTGAGCTGGGGTCTTAATATACAGCCTTGGCTAGTCTGGAGTTCACTACATAAACTGTACTAAAACTTGGGAGATCTGCCTATCTCTACCTCCCAAGTGTACCACCATATCTAGCCCTTCTCAGATCTCTCTCTCTCTTTTTTTTTTTTTAAGAAAAAAAAAAAAAAAGAAAAGGTCTCACCAGGCAGTGGCGGTGCATGCCTTTAATGCCAGCACTTGAGAGGCTGAGGCAGGCGGATCTCTGTGAGTTTGAGGCCAGCCTGGTCTACAGAGCTAGTTCCAGGGTGGCCAGGGCTACACAGAGAAACCCTATCTGGAAAAAACAAAAAGGAAAAAAAAAGAAGAAAAGCCCTCAAGGATTCCAGGCCGGCACTGAACTCTCAATTTGGCTATGCTAGATTGTTTTATGTCAACTTGACATAAACTAGAGATATCTGAAAGGAAGGATTCTCAATTGAGAAAATACCTACATAAAATGGGGCTGTAGGACATTCTCTTAATTAGTGATTGACGTGGGAGGGCCCAGCCCATGGTGGGTGGTGCCATCCCTGGGCTGGTGGTCTTGGGTTCTATAAGAAAGGAGGCTGAGCAAGCCGTGGTGCAAAAGCCAGTAAGCAGCACCCCACCATGGCTTCTGCATCAGCTCCTGCCTCCAGGTTCCCATCAGAGTTCCTGTCCTGACTTCCTTCAGTGATAAGACTATGAATGTGGAAGTGTAAGCCAAACAAAACCCCCTCACACTGCTGTGGGTCATGGTGTTTCATCATTATAATAGTAACCCAAACTAAGACAGTGGCCAAGGATGACCTTAAATTCTTGACCCGCCATCCTTCAATCCCCAACTCCTGTGACTATAGGTGTACATCAGTTTATGCAATGCTGGGAATGGGGCCCAGAATCATATGTATGCTGGGCAAACACTCTACCAGCTGAGCTACCTCAGCACTTCACAGTGACTTTTTGTTCTGTTTTGAATGTGTGTAGTGTTCTGCCTGCATTTATGTCTATGAACCACTTGAATGCTTAGTGCCATGGAGGCCAGAAGAGGGTATGAGATACCCTGAAACTGGAGTTACAGATGGCTGTGAGCTGCCGAAAGTGCTAGGAACCATGCCCAGGGCATCTAGAACAGCCAGTGTTCTTAACCACTGAGGCATCTATCACTCCAGCCAAGTTTACGATGATTCTCAAACCAGCTGAACAACTCTACAGTCCTGTTCCTGAAGCACCTGCTTATCTTATGTACCCCTCCTCAGTGTGATGACATGTTTAGCCTCTTGGAACCCGATATCCTCAGCATGTCAGCATGTCCCTTCTCCATGGGTGCCCTTCCTCTGCATGGCAGTGCAGCTGGCTGGTTTGTGACGGCTCAATTCCTAGCTTCACACAGGACCAAGCCTAAAGCAGGGCTCCAAATGTGTCTGCTGACTACTAATCTATGATCTACAATCTGAAGTCAGAGGGAAAAGAAGGGGAGTCCCCAGTAGACAGCGCTCTACCTTCGCTCCCTCCAGGTCTCCCAGCTTGCTCTTCTTCCTTATCAGCATGTTGAAGAAGGTCACGTCGGCCTCCACCTCATGCCTGTCCAGCATGGTCAGTAGTGAGGACTCTGCGGGGCTCCCAGGTTCCACCACCTCAGCCAGGAGAGTGAGGGTTTTGATGTCCGGCTGGAGACCGTGCTCTGCCATCTTGCCCAGGAAGCCCTCCAGGCCCCCCATCAAGGCCAGCCTATCAGCAGGAGTGGCCACTGTCCCAAAGGAGACTACGGTCGAGGGGAGAGTTCCAAGACTCAGGATATTGAATTCCAGCTCCAAGTGGGAAGGCTTTAGGGCCAGTGGGGTGTGGGCTGCTATGTGGCCAGGTTCTGCCTTGGTTTCTACCTCGGGCTGTGTCCTGCTTGTTACCCCACTCTCAGGGAAGTCTGAAGGCCCCTCAAGTTTCTGAGAAGGTTCCAGAAACAACTGCCTCTCCAGTGCCTCCACATGTCTAATTGACACACCATCCTCTGCCTTGGCCTGGACTTTCCTCCTTGCCTGAGGCCTGCTTGCTGGGGGCTGGAGTAGGATGGTCTCTTCCTGAGGCTTCAGGAGCAGCCTGGAGGCAACCTCTGGGTCCCCCAGACCACAGTCTCGAGCTGCGCCCAAGAGGAGGTTATAGCCATGCCTAGTTGGTTTGATCCCCAGACTCAGCATCTGCCACCACACCTGCAGGAGAAACAAATGTTAGCTATATGTTCCTGCATCCTACAGGCCTTCAATGGAAGTAGGTGCTATGAACTCATAAGGCACAAGAAAGCTGGAGTAGCTCTATGGTACAGCGACTGCCTAGAATGTGTAAAGTCTTGGATTAAAACCCTAGCACCCCCCAAAAAAGAAAAAAAAAAAAACAAAAAAACTGCTGGGGATGTGACTCAGGGTGTGGAGGCCCTGGGTTCAGTCCCTGTGAAACCAGCCTATAGTCCCAGGTGGAAGGATTAAGATTAACCTGAGCAATGTAAAGTCTGTGGCGGAGGAGGGGGTGGGGAGGACTAGCAAGGTGCTGACCACCAAACCTGACGACCTGAGTTCAATCTCTAGAATCTACATGACAAAAGGAGAGAATCAACCTGCAAGTTGTCTTCTGACCTCTACATTTGCACTGTGGAATGCAAACGCCTTCCCCCAAACATATGTAATCAAAATAGGTTTAAGAAGTTGGAGAGAGCCGGGTGGTGGTGGCGCACGCCTTTTATCCCAGCACTCAGGAGGCAGAGCCAGGAGGATCTCTGTGAGTTCGAGGCCAGCCTGGGCTAGCAAGTGAGCTCCAGGAAAGGTGCAAAGCTACACAGAGAAACCCTGTCTCGAAAAACCAAAAAAAAAAAAAAAAAAAAAAAAAAAGTTGGAGAAGCTGGGCGTCGGTGGCACATGCCTTTAATCCCAGCACTCAGGAGGCAGAACCAGGTGGATCTCTGTGAGTTTGATGCCAGCCTGGTCTATAGAGTGAGATCCAGGACAGGCACCAAAACTACATGGAGAAACCTTGTCTTGAAAACTGCCCCCCACCCAACAAAAAAAAGAAGTTGGAGAGATGGCTCAGCAGCTAAGAGTACTATAGCTACTCTTCCAGAAGACCAACTCTTCCAAAGTTCAATTCCCAACATCCACACAACAGCTCACAGTCTGTTACTCCAGTTCCAGATGATCCAACACCTTCACACAGACATATATGCAGGCCAAACTCCAATGCACATAAAAATAAATACATAGGTTTAAAAAGTGATTAAATAAAGAAGCATCTAGAAAGTATCCAACCTAAGGCTAGGCATGGTAGTGCACACCTTTAAATGGCTGTGAGCCACCATGTGGGTGCTGGACACTGGACCCAGGTCTTCTGCAAGAGCAGCCAATGCTCTTAACTGCTGAGTCATCTCTCCAGCTCCCTTTGGTTTTTCTTTTTTCCTTTTTTTTGAGATAGGTTCTCACTATGTAGCCTTGGAGTCATGCAAATCAGGCTAGCCTCAAATTCAGAGATGCCTCTGCCTCCTAGGTGCTGTAGTAACTGACCAACTCCTTTTGTTCTGACAGGAACCTCCACAACCTGGGTGTGGGCAACATTGGACACCCTACCTTATCAGAAAGAGGTGTGTAGATGGGGACTGGCAGGTCAGGCACCAGCTTGGCAAACCTTGCAAGGGTCTAATGCCTACCAAGACAAGGTCTTCAGGAAGGCAAGGGTCTTGGCAACCTTTCCTAAAGAATGGTTAGCAGAATGGTCAATTAAGGGATATACACACTACTGCTGGAATAAAATGTGGTGGCAGGGATTCATGCACTAGAGTCTGATAAACATGGCTTTTTTTTTTTTTTTTTTTTTTTTAAAGACAGGGTCTCAAACTAGAACTCTCAATGTAGACCAGACTAGCTTCAAGTCACAGCTCTTTTTTCTTTTTTGGTGTGTGTCTGTGCGTGGTTGTTGCTGTTGTATGGGTATGTGTATCTGTACATAAGCAGAGGAGCAGAGGCCAGAGGCGAGCATCAGGTGTCCTGTTGTATCACTCTCTGCCTTATTCTCTGAGATAGAGTCTCTCACTCAACCTGGTGCAGCAGCCAGCAAGACCCAGCAAGCCTCATGTCACTGTTGCCCACAGAGCTAGGGTCACAGTGCTCAGGGCCACATCCATCTTTTTGCATGAGTTCTAGGGATTTGAACTTAGGGCCTTACGTGCTTATATAACAAATGCTCTTACCTATTGAGCCATCTCTGTAGCCCTAAATCCCAGCTCTTAGTGGCTGTGGGAATCTCAGGAAAGTTATAAATGTCTGTGAGCCTCAGTTCCCTCACCTGCAAAAAGGGGCTGGCAGTGCCTTGAAGAAGCAGTTCAGGAAGTATGCAACACAAATACGCATTAGTATTGATAGATTCATTCTACGCTTTCTTTATATCATGCTACTGCTCAAAATTCTTTGCAGAGGGAACCTTGTTGTCTTGGGTCGTCATTCTGCAAAGTAGCTGGGAATCTTTCTGAGATGTATATCTGGACACAGGATATCTGAATAAGGCTGCTGCCAAGCAGTGGTGGACACATTAGATGGCTAAGCTTGGAAAAGTAAGACACAAAAGCATCCATGGCAGCAACACCAATACCCACTCTCCACATCATTGGAGGAGTCACCTCTGGAGGATCTGAGATGGGCTTAGAGTATATCTCTCACTTTGGGACTAAGTGTACATTCCTGGGTTGTACCTGTAGAGATGCCAAGTATAGAAGGAGCCCGAGGGATGGGCTGAACATACACCCTGGTGAACGTACTGTGATGGTCAGGAACCCCAAAATTAGAGGGTCTGAGCAGGAGAGGTTTGGGCTGGCTGTGCCTTCACTAATGGGGTAGCACTTCTACAAGCCTCCGTTCCATGTTGTCCACAAGATGGAGGAAGAGCATGCCCGGTAGTGATTACCACGAAGGCCAGAAGATGGCAGATATAAAAACATCTGGCACAGTGGGCTGGAGAGAAGGCTCAGTGATTGAGAGAGATATTGCTCTTTGAGAGGACCTGAGCATGGTTTCCTGCATCCACTTCAAGTGGCTCACAACAGGCTATATAACTCCAGTTCCAGGTGATCCCTTTCTGGCCTCCTGCACACATACATATAATTTAAAAACAAAAACCAAACAAAGCTAACCCTGGCACCAGGCAGGACAGAAAGGCAAGACTGACCTGCACGGCTTGCCGGAAGCCTGCCTTCTTGTCCTGGATGCAGCCCATAAGCAGGAAACAGAAGGTCTCCTCTGTCACTGCATGTCCCTTGTGGATGATTTCCTGGGCAAGAGAAGAAGGCAGTCTCACTCAGAACCAATGGCAAGGCCCAGACCAGGTGGTGTCTGACCTGGTTCAGTACCAGGTCCATACATCTCTAAGGAATAGGTACCAGGATGTAGCGCTGGGACCAGTTAGAACCACCTCCTAAGTGAAGTACCCAACCACTTCCCCTGCTATCCCCAGGCTTGTCTTCCCAGCTCTGCTCCTACAGTCAGCAGCATCTGCAAAGCCGACCCCAGCAGCCACTCTACTTAGGCCCTGGAATCACAGGACTGGTTTCAAGACCCACCACCACCACCAGCCAACTATGGGCATGGACAAGGCTCTGAGTTTCTCAGCCTCAGTTTCCTCATCTGCGCAAGGACACACCTTCTAGGACATCTGAACAACCCTTTAACCATGTAGGGACTGTACAGGGTGAGTACGGTCCCCACCAGCCTCTTCAGTGTCAAGCTGGGCAAGACCTCCTAAAAGACACTCCTACCTCTCAGAAACTCTTGTCCTTGACACTCAGCACAGGGACTCCCTTTCCACCACCACCCTCTTGACAGCCAGCCACTGTCACACTGAGGCCATACAAAGCTAGGTCATGTTGGATATGTGTGCAAACCCCAGCATAAAGCATGGGCTGTCTCAGCTTTCCTGAACATTCCAGGTGAAGAGAGACAGATAATCTCTCTCTCACTTGTCCCACGGGACTGGGCCTGACTTCAAAGAGCTGGAAGAAGGGAAGTCCCCACCTTGAAGACATCAAGGCACATCCTGAGGTCTGCACACTTGGCGGCCACCTTAAGCAGGGCATGGTATGTTTTCAGGTTGAGCTGGAAGTTTTTGGCCTGGAGCTGCTGTCGAAGCTTCAGCGCACTCTGCAGGGCAGATTCCTTCCAGGGGGACTCCGCACAGACGTTGAACAGAGCTGTGTATGTGGCATCTGAGGGCTCCAGGTCTCTCTTCTTCATCTGTTGAGATGGGAGAAGACTGAGGGAGGGTCTAGAAGCTGGATACAGAGATCACCGCCACTTTGAAGGACCCGAGAGAGGTCTGTTACCACATCCGATTATGACAGAAGCTAAGATGGACCCAAGTGGCACCTCATATACGTATTCAAACTCCCAACTCAACCAGAGGGACCATGGAAACTGAGCTCTTACTCTTGGAAATGCTAACAGGAAACCATCCTTCTGGGGTACCTGAAAGAATATTCGAGAGCTGGTGTACTTGTATCAGGAGCTTCTGATGGCCCTATCCTGAGGCCTGACCAGCTCACCCTGACTATCCAGGGGGCACACAGTGGGTCTGCTCTGGGAAAGGGGGACCAGTGCTCACTAACTGAGAGCTCATGAGCCAGTGAACTCTCCTCAGAAACCAAGGACGAGATCGTTCAGAAAGATCATTACAATGATTAATGTACCTACAATGTACTTTCCGAAGTGCAGTTTGTCAGGTATGTTGGCATCTTAGCTCTCAGGAGGCAGAGGCAGGCATGAGTTCAAGGCCAGCCTGGTCTACATAGTGAGTTCCAGGTCAGCCAAGGATACATAATAAAGCCGTCTCATAACCAAAAAAAGAAGTACAGATTCTGTTTGCTCTAGCCACAGACTGTGAGGACGGGGGTAATGTACCAAATAAGAGGAGTAGGGTTAGCAAGGGTCTGCTGGCGTGAGGACTCCCTTAGCTTCTGGCCCCAGGAGAAGATGGGTTGTCTCTTGTTTGAGTCTGCAGTTGTCCAGGGTAAGGCTCTTTCTTGATTCATGAAGGAAACTGAAACAGGATTTGTGTGTGAGGAACTGTTGGGGTCTGTAGAGAGGAACATAGACTAACTGGGCATGGTAGCAGAGAAATAAGGAAACATGGGGGTTCCTAGCAGCCCAGGCACAGGATGAAGCATGTCTCTTGTCACCTCACTTAATTCCCCAAGAAAAACTCAATTCGGATTCAATGTCGACGAGCCTATGTCATCTGCCCACAGTGACACTGTGCTCAGGATCTGCACCCAGCACGCATTTCACAGCCTTGGGCCTATCCTGACCCGCACTCACATCATTATAGAGCTTGAAGGCCTTCTTCAGGTAGCCGACGCGCCCACAGCCTCCGATCAGCACTGTATAGTTGTACTCCAGAGGCTGCAAGCGCTCCTCCTTCAGCATCTGCCTCTCAAACAGATCCAGGGCCTCCGCCAGCTAGGGAAAGAACCAACAGGAGAGAGGGAGGGCTCAGGATGGTCTCAGGACCTTTAACAAGCCAGGGAGAGTGGGGCATACAATTGGCAGGAGGCTCAAAGCCATTCTAGGCTACACAGCATGTTTCAGAACAGCCTGGGACTCATAAAATATTGTCTCCAAACAAAAATCTCAACAAAAACAGAAGGCCCCAGCAGAGGGTAGGAGGTAGAGGCACCCTTCTGACATGGTACAGGCCAACAGCTCCCTCCAACTGCAAACTTCTGCCCAAAATGGCCTTTGCCCCATCTCTAATTTCCTACACTATCCTGTCCCTCAGTACATGCTTTAACTCCTTATCATTTGTTTTCGGTTTTGTTGTTGTTCTGAAGATTACACCAAATGCCTATACATGCTTGGCAAATAATTTACCACTAAACTGAATTCCTAGCCCAATTTCCTTTTTTTTTTTTCTGAGACAGGGTATATAACTATGTATGCTAGGCTGGTTTCAAATTCAGAGCTCTGTCTGTCTCAGTGCTGGGATTAAAGGTGTGCGTCACTATGCCCAGCTCTCACTCCTTTTCCTTATCTGTCCATTCAAATAATAGTTACTGCCAGCCGTGGTGGCACACAGAACAAGCTCAGTATAGTGGCATATGCTAGGAAATCCCAGCACTCAAAATGTTGAGGCAGGAAGATTGTAAGTTTAAAGCTAACCTGAACTACATAGTGGGTACCAGTCAGCCAGGGATACACAGCAAGACATTCTTGAAAGAATGGTGGAACTATTAAAATGAGTCCGAGCTGGCAACAGTTAGAGGTCAAGTTGTTAAAAAGAACAAATCATGACCCAAGAAAATGTGAGATGGACAAAAAGACTAGTGGGATGGCCATGTCGTGAGTTAAAGATAGGTGGGGGCTAGCAATACGGTTCAGCAGATAAAGGTACTTGCAGTGTAAGCCTAGTGACCAGAGTTCGATCCCTGGGCTCCACATAAAGGTGCAAAGGAAGAACCAGCTCTACCAACTAGCTCTGCTAGTTGTCCTCTGGCTTCCACATGTGCACGATGGCACAAACATTCAGACATGCACGAAAACAATAACAGAGATCCAAGGATGGAGCACGGAACACTCCAACTTCAACAGCTGAGGAGGCTACACTGCCCCACATAAAACGCCAACGCAGCAGAAAGGAAAACCCCAAGGTTCTCGGACCTTTCCTTCCTTGATCAGACGTTTGCACTGAAGGAAGTACCAGTATGGAGTGTTCCTCCGGCCCCGCCACAGTCTGGGCTCCAATTCTTCCTCCTCAACACCCTGCTCCTTGAGCCGCAGGTTATACAGCTGGGCTGTTGACTTGTGGAATATTTTCCGAGAGGAGTATTTGTCAGAGAGGGTCCCAAAGCTCTCTTCGTCCTCCTCCTCCTCCTCCTGAGGGGCCACCATGCTGAGCTTACTGGAGTCCGAGCAGAGGCTGCTCATGTTCCTCTGGCTCCCTCGGTGGGAGGAAGAGCTGCAGAAGGCTTCTGACACCTGCCAATGTGGCCATGCTGCCCTCAGCTGTCCAAGTCCCTCCTTGCCTGCTGTCCATCGGGTAGATCCAAGAAGATCCAAGTGTTGAAGGACAGACAGTCCTATGGGGTGGGGGCCAGAAAAGAGCCGGGAAAGTCTCATGAGGTCTATTACTGGCCTTCTTGTGTTACTACAACCTGAAATCAAGAAAAATAAGGACGTCACATCAGCCTACGTGTAAGAGTTGGAAAGAAGAGAGAAGTGTAGCTACAAGGGTGGCTGAGTTGGGACACCTTGGCTCAGGCTGGGGGTGCGGAGTGGGAGATGGGCCATATTCATAATCTCAGCACTTGATGGGTAGAAGACAATCAGAACAAGGTCATCCTCAGCTACATACCAACTTCAAAGCCAGCCTGGGCTTCTTGGGATTGTCTCAAAATAATAAAAGGAAAGGCCAGGTGTGGTGGCCCGCACGGTTAATCTCAGCACTTGGGAGGCAGAGTTCTGAGCTAGTTAGGGCTACAGAGATTCCCTGTCTCAAAAACACAACAACAACAAAGAGGGCCCCAGCCTGTCTCAGCAGATGAAGGTGCTTTCTGCCACGCTTGATGACCCGAGTTGGATCCCTGAGCCTACTTGGTGAAAGCTGTTCCCTGACCTGTACACATGTGCTGTGCGATGCACACATAAATCAATGTGCTTAAAAAATGCACAGGAGTTCAAAGGTAGCCTCTGCTACAAATAAGACCAGGCTATATGAGACCCCGTCTCAAAAAAACCAAAACCAAACAAAAAGAGTCTTAGGTCTGAAATTCCTGAGGCAGAAGGACTACAAGCATACAAAGGACGGGGTGGGGGTGGGGGCACGGCGAGGGCCTTTGTAGCTCCATGGTAAACTCTTCTCTAGCATGCACAAGGTTCTAAGTTCAATCCTCAAAAATACACACAGGGTATGGTGGTGCACTTCTTTAGTACGAGCACTCAGAAGTCATCACAAGCAGATTTCTCTAAGTTAGAGACCAGCCTGGTCCACATAGGATGAGTTCCAGTTCAGCAAGGGCTACAAGGGAGACACTGTCTCAAAACAAAAAACTAACAAACAAAACAACCAGAAAATTATATACGTGCTAACATAATTTTTTTCTCTTTTGTGGTACTAAAGGTTGAATTTAGAGCTCTACCAATGAGCTATATCTCTAGTTCTTTATATTTTTTTCTTTTTTTCCAGACAGGGTCTCTCTGTGTAGCCTTTGCTGTCCTAGAACTCACTCTGTAGACCAGGCTGGCATCGAACTCACAGAGATCCATCTGTCTCAGCCTCCAGAGCGCTGGGATTAAAGGTGCCCATCACGAATGCCCAGCAATCTTTATACTTTTTGAGACAGGGTCCCACTAAGTAGCCTTGGTTAGCCTCAAACTCATCTTATTTTCCTACGTCAGCCTCACTTCAGTGCTAGGATTACAAGTAAACACCACTGGTGTCTGGTTTTTTGTATTTATTGGCTTGTTTATGAATCTGGTGGCATTGGGCTTCAAATCCAGGGAATTGTGAATCTAAGCTCTCTCATTGAGCTGCATCCTCCTGTACTAACATTCTCTCTCTCTTCTTTTTTTTTTTTTTTGGTTTTTCGAGACAGGGTTTCTCTGTGTAGCTTTGCGCCTTTCCTGGAACTCACTCTGTAGCCCAGGCTGGCCTCGAACTCACAAAGATCCGCCTGCCTCTGCCACCCAAATGCTGGGATTAAAGGTGTGCGCCACCATCGCCCGGCTGGAGAGATGGCTCAGCCGTTAAAGGCTAGGCTCACAACCAAAAACATTCTCTTTTTATTAGGTGGACTAGAGAGTTCAGCCTGCATAGTTTGAACCCTTTAATACAAAACATCAGGATAGCTGGGTGGTAGTGGCTCACGTCTTTAATCCCAGCATTCAGGAGGTAGAGGCAGGCAGATCTCTGTATACATGTAAAATCAGAATAAATTTTTTTTTTTCGAGACAGGGTCTCTTTTTATGTAGCGCTGACTGGAACTCGATCTGTAGACCAGAGACCTTGAACTCACAGAGATCCACCTACCTCTGCCTCCCGAGTGCTGGAGTTAAAGGCGTGCGCCACCATAGCCCGCCCGGCTCAGGATAAACATTTTAAATCTTAGCTCTCCCTCCAGGGTCTCATGTAATCCAGGTTGGCCTTGAACTTTTGATTTCCTGCCTCCACTTGTCACTTATTGGGATTACAAGTATGCGCCAACACTCCGAGTTTGTGCGGTGCTGGGGCTCGAACCCAGGCCTTGGCTCATGTTAGGCAAGCAATCTGCCAACTAGCCATATCTCAGCCTCCTTACCTGAATTGCAAACCTCTAAATTAGATACATAGAGGCTGTCAACCCCGTAGGGGGACCTGGGACCCTCGGGCCGCCCCTGCCTCCTCTCCCCAGGACTTCAGAGCCCGGCTTTTCTCTTGTGACCGACCCCCCTGGCTTGGACAGGGTCCCTCGGGTCCAATTTCTGACCGGGCTCCCCGGATTCCTACGAGGGTAGAACAGGAACTCACTTAGGGTGTCCCGCGCAGCGAGGCCCTGTGAAGTGCCTTGTCCTCAGTGTCGTAGGGGCTCGGCCCCGAATCACCTTTCTTCCCTTCACTACACGCGCCAGAGGCCCCGCGCAGGCGCACTTTGCGTCGCCGCCTCCCAGATTCTTTCCGATTACGGCCCACAAGGGCGTTCGGCCAGCGGCTAGCCAGGCCTGAAGGAAAGGCAGGATTCCGCGCTCTATTGGCTGAGTCTGGGTGGTGGGCGGGGAAGAAATAGGGCCGGGGCGGACCTGGGCGCTCCCGGCATCCCTTGCGGGGCGGCGGTGGCGGCGGGATATAAGGAGGGGACGGCGGAGAGTGGTGTGAGTTGGAGGAGAGAGACGTGACGGGGAGCCGGGCCGGAGGCCGCCACCGCCGCCATGCAGGAAATCATCGCCAGCGTGGACCACATCAAGTTCGACTTGGAGATCGCCGTGGAGCAGCAGCTCGGGGCACAGCCGCTGCCCTTCCCTGGCATGGATAGTAAGCACGGGGCCCGGCGGGTGGGCGACGCCGATTCTGACCAGGGGCTTCCCCAACCCGGAGTCACGGGACCCTCACCCTCGCCCAGCTCTTCCTTTTCCGTCCTGGGACATCCCCGTGTCACTTAAACTCGGGAGCCCTTTCCTTGGATCCCTGATCCCGGGGCACTGTTCCTTGGCAATCCTCGGGACAGCAGGGCCGTGTCGGTTGTTGAGTAGTTCTTCAATGAATGCGTGTTATCCTTAAGAGGAACTCCCCTCTCCCACCCTGCTCCTACTAGAGCAAAGCTCTAGAATGACCCCCATTTCCACCTCTTTGGGTGCTCCTTTCTTACTTTCGTCAGAACTAGGCAGTTAGTAGACCTTCATTGCAGTCTTACTTGGGTCTTTTAACTCTTGGGAACTCCTTCCTTGTTGTGGAATTCTTTTTTCTTACTGCTCCACCTCCGGGTCTCTTGCCCCAACACAGGTCCCTGGGGGAACTTTAGCCCAGGCTCCCTCTACTGTCTCTCTTTAGGTGATGGTAGCTTTCCCATGCTGGTGGGATATCTTATGTTTGGGAGAGCAGCTCCAATTCAGACATAATCTGTCTTTGGCCAGGTCGTTCTTGCACGCACATTATGTCCACTCTTAAACAGTAGGCGTTCTCTTGACTTGTCGGCGCTACCTTGAGACCATGGGACAATACGTGTGGGCAGCTCTTTTCCTCCCACTCAACACCACAGATCCACAACTCTGTGGAGGTAGGTGCGGAGTAGTGAGAAGCCCCTCACGTGCTGTTCTCTTGGAGAGCCAGGGAGGTACATAGCATGGGTACCTCTCCAGCTCAGTTCCAGACCTGGTGGGTGCCCTCAACATTCGCTTCTTTTTTGTGGTTGTTTAGAGTATGTCAAAGCCCAGCAAGGCTACAGACCCTCCTTGCTGGTCCCTGTGATGATGCTCTTTAAGAAATGTAAATTTGCTGGGAGGTGGTGCCACACACCTTTAATCTCAGCACTTGGGAGGCATAAACAGGTGGATCTGTGTGAATTCAAGGCTAGCGTGTTCTACAAAGCGAGATCCAGGACAGGCTCCAAAGCCACAGAGAAACCCTGTCTCAAGAAAAAAAAAAAAAAAAGAAAGAAATGTAAATTCTGCCCTGAAGATGTGTTCTTATCCATCCTCCCAGTCCCCGTAACTGGATTTCTGACCTTAAAGAGGGGAGCAAGACTAACTTCTAAATAGAAAGATCACATGTACTCTTAGATAATAGTTTTGTTTTATTTTGCTATTGAGATGGTTTCATGTAGTCTAGGCTGGCCTGGAATTCCTTGTGTAGCTAGGGATGACCTTGAACTCCTGATCCTCCTTATACCTCCACTCCCAATTTCTGAAGTGCTGGGGATTGAACCCAGAGCTTTGTGCATGCTTGTCAGGCACTCTACCAACTGAGCTACATTTCCAGTCTTTGTTTTTTTCTTATTTATTTTTATTTGTTTTTGTGCCAAGGCTGACCTAGAATTTACTGTGTGGCCTGTGCTTTTCTTGAACTTGAAATCTTCGCACCTCAGTTCCCTTCTCGGGTACTGGGATCACCAGTGTACACCATCACACCCAGCAATACCTCTACATTCTACCACTTTTACTCTGACCTAGCAAGACCTGCCTGCTTCTGTGAAGCTGCTGAATTTCTTGAAAGTTAGCAATAGGAAGCACTTGAGTGGTCTTAAGGAATGCCATCTCTGGTTTTGTTTGTTTGTTTTTGTTTTTTGGTTTAGTTTTTCAAGACAGGGTTTCTCTGTAGCTTTTGAAGCCTATCCCAGAACTTGGCTTTATAGACCAGGCCGGCCTCAAACTCACAGAGATCCACCTGCCTTTGCCTCCTGAGTGTTGGGATCAAAGGCATGCTGGTTTTTGTTTGTTTGTTTGTTTGGTTTTTTTTTTTGGTTTTTCGACTCGGAGATTCCGACTGGCTCTGAGTACGAGTGCTGGGATTAAAGGCGTGTGCCACCACCACCTGGCTGGGTTTTTGTTTTTTAAGTTTGTTTTCTGAAAATACACACTGATTGAATCAGTGAAAACTGTTTATGAAGTCAAACCTGGCTGGTTTTTTGTTTTTTAAGTTTGTTTTCTGAAAATACACACTGATTGAATCAGTGAAGACTGTTTATGAAGTCAAACCTGGCTGGTTTTTTGTTTTTTAAGTTTGTTTTCTGAAAATACACACTGATTGAATCAGTGAAGACTGTTTATGAATTCAAGAATTATTCTTCAATCATGGCTGGTGAATTTCTAGATGCAATAGGTTAGATGGCCCTGGGCCCACTGACTGCTACCACATCCTGCCTCTATAGTTTTACTGTCCACCCAGAGCTGGCTGCACCATGGGGATGAAAGATCATGCTCCTTTGTAATTCCATGTGAACCTTGCATACTACGGGCTGGCTTGCTGTCTTTACTTACAGTATTCTCCTAGGCTAGTATCTCAGAGGCAACTGCCTGCTCTGGAATTTGTCCCTACTCAGAGGCCTCATCTACTCATTGTTATTTTCTGTGAGACCATTCATTCCCTCTCTCTGTGTCTCATGCTAATGTACCTGTAAATTAACTCTCCTGGGAGGTCTGAGCTGGGGGTAATTAACTTATTTCTGTGATCTTATGATCCTTCTTGCCTTCTCCACCCACTCTTAGATGTCTTGGAAGCTATGGGCTTTCAGGAGGTTCTCAGAAAGAACAATGATGTTTAGTTCCACTATACAGGTCACATTTCACGATTTGACTGAAACAAGTGGTGTTTGCTTTGAGACAGGGTCTCAATGTGTAGCCCTAGCTGGTCTGGAACTTAATATGTAGACCAGGCTAGCCTAGAACTCAGAGATTCACCTGCCTCTGCCTCTTGAGTGCTAGGATTACAGGTATTTGCCACCATGCCAGGCATGGGCTTTGTGGTTTTTGCCAGCTCAATACACCCTGGACTAAAGAGCCTCCCATTGGCACCTGGTGTTGGTTGATAACTAGCTCTTTCCTTTTACAGAGTCGGGGGCTGCTGTCTGTGAATTCTTTTTGAAAGCTGCCTGTGGCAAAGGTAAGACACTCTTGACTTCCTCACATCCTTCCTGAGGTACCCTACTTTTCCCCCTAGCAGATTTACAGGCCACCAGGTATCTGCTTGTATTGCTCTCCGTAGATAGGTGTCCCTAAATGAAGCTGTGGCTTGGAGAGGCTAGGAGGATGATGGTTCTACCCAAAACCTAAACACAGTCTGAGCCTGCCTAACTTAGAGGATGCTTTCTTGTGCCGTTTTTTTCTTCTCAGACATAGACAAAGGGAACATAGAGCCTCTCAGGAACTTTTCATTGTCCCAGAATTGCATGTGGCCACACCCAGTGTTTGAATACAGACTTTTTTTTTCTTTTTTTTTTTTTTTTAAAGAATTTCAGTGTGTACAAGCTGTTCCTTAGTCAAAGACTCCATCACTCTTTCTTCTGGGGTCTTGTTGACACTAACTAACCAGACCTCCACAGATGCTATGGGACTCTGGCTATCCATTGATTCATAGGTATTAGTGGGCAGGACCTTATGTATCATGCATACATCTGGGCATTTTTCTCCCTCTGGGAATTTATTTAGGAAAGTAAATTTTAACCAGAAGCTTGGCTAGGGAGCACAAACCTAGAGCAAAGGGATGGTTTGAATGGGTGGATTGGTCTAGTGAGTTTGGGCTCCACAGTACAGTCGCTTGCTGCTGAAGCAGAAGCCCTTGGAGGTGAACCAAACAGGTTTCCGGTCAGGACATCACTCCTTCATTGTGTCCTGATCTCATTCCCAAATGTTTGCTCAGCTCTTCTGCCCTCTGACTGTTGGGTAGCTAGACAGATATTGGCAGACTATTGTTTTTCTCAAACTTCCATAACATTGTCCATGGCTTCCTCTTGAGTCCATTTTTAAATTCTTTTATTAATGAGACTAAGAATCCCAAAAAGGACGCCAGGTCCCCAGATAATACACTATGGAGCTCCTGAAATTCCCCCAGGAATGGGACCACCCATCTTCTGCTACAGAGCCATCCTTAATTCATGGCACTATGGTCGTCGCATAGCCGCTAGCCACATACATGTGCTGACCAATTAAAGTCTTTAAGGGTAGTTCTTCAGTCACACTGCTGCTAACTCAGATGTTCAGCAGTCACATGGGCTAGTGGCTGCATTACTAGATAGTGAAAATGTAGAGCATTTCCTTCCACTGTGGCCAAAAGTTCTGGGCAGGGCTGGTCTCTGTCGTCTTTCTTAGTCACAGCCTTTTTCTCAGCAGACCTTCCAGCAGTCCTGGCAGGCCATCAGTTACAAGTGTGACATCCCCAGAGGATGGCTCTGTCCCATCCGGGTAGGACACATCCTGCTGCAGAAGGACACTGCTCCTGTTTGTGTATGTCACATCTCTTCAGTTACAAAGCTGACTTTAGTCTTGTGGCTGGAGAGCACTTTTAATAAGATGTGGCCTGCCTGGAGTCCATTCTGCTAATGGTCCTCTTTATCCTGTAAGGCTTATTCTTTTTAGCCCCCTTCCAACTTTTCTATTTCTACTAACTGTACTACTAGAACTAGTTTCTGTTTGTTTAAGGAACCAACTGACCCCTACCCCAGGCTTATTATGTATCTGTCTTATACTATATTATGACATGATATTTTAGTGTTTTGTTGTTTTGAGACAGGATCTCACTGTGTAGCCCTGACTGGCCTGGAACTCCCTGTGTAGACCAAGGTGGCTTTAAACTCACAGGAATCTGCATGCCTTTGTCTCATGGGTACTGGGATTAAAGGTGTGTGTCACAACACCCCCACAGTATTCTAGTTGTGTGGGTTTTTTGTTGTTGTTGTTTTGTTTTTTGCTTTTTGGATTTTTTAGGCAGGGTTTCTCTGTAGCTTTGGAGCCTTTCCTGGAACTCACCCTGTAGACCAGGCTGGCCTCGAACTCACAGAGATCCGCCTGCCTCTGCCTCCCAAGTGCTGGGATTAAAGGCATGCACTACCACCACCCATCTCCAGTTGTGTTTTTCTAAAATACTTTAAACTCAAATACATGCCTATTAAAATATAAAGTGAGGCTAGAGAGATGACCCAGTGGTTAAGAGCACTGGCTGCTCTTCCAGAGGACCCAAGTTCAATTCCCAGCACCCACATGGCAACTCCAACCATCTGTAACTCCAATTCCAGGACATCTGACACCCTCCCCCACTTTCTGGCCTCTGCAGACACTATGGACAAATGTGGTGGTACACAGACAGGCAAAACACTTGTACGCCCACAAAATGCAGTGTTTGCTTGTATACCTCCTAAATCCACATTGCCTTCTCCACAGACACCTCTGCTGGTTTCAGGCAGTTTAAAGCAGTGTAGGATGACGACAGCTCTCCAGCAGCCCCTAGGTTAATTTCCAACTGAGCCTGTATATCTTTTCACTCTTCCTTGGCAGGGGGCATGTGTCCATTCCGCCACATTAGTGGTGAGAAGACAGTTGTGTGCAAACACTGGCTGAGAGGACTGTGCAAGAAAGGGGACCAGTGCGAGTTCTTGCATGAGTACGACATGACCAAGATGCCCGAGTGCTACTTTTACTCCAAGTTCGGTAAGGCACATAGAATCCTGGGAGGCTCTGCTGAGAGCCAAGCCCCAGGGGCCCAGTGGATGCTCAGGGCCCACTGCATCTCTGTTTCTCCCATCTTGCCAGAACTTGGACAGAGCCTGGGGGCCTGAGCTGGTCCTTCTGTAAGGGGGAGTTACTGTTCTCTGTGGTAGCTTTATGTCCTCGTGGAACTTCAGGGTTTGGAGCACTTTGGGATATTGAGACTTAACAAGGGTCCCAGTGAGTGAGCAAGGAAGCCGAGTGGAAACTTTGTCTTTGCTCATGGCAGCCTTATCCGTAAAATTCTGGCTTGGTCACTGATCGCCCCCAGCCTGATTTTCTTCATTCTTTCTGGGAGTATGATCCTAGGTAGTTGTATGGCTATTCCAGCAGTCCTTGTAATAGCAAGTCTGGGGCTGTCTGTCTTCTGGTGGACGTGAACCTTCTCTTCCCATGAAACTAAGATTGCTTTTCACTCTGATGAGAGGTCATGAGGCCCCTACTGTTTGGAGTGGCCTTATGGAGAAGCAGGGGCAGAGCGGAAGGGATAGGGCTGGCACAGAACTTAGTCCGCAAGAGCTTTGCTCTGGTCTGCTGTTAGTGGTGTCTCAGGAAGCTCTGTTGGTCAGCCCAAAGGCTTCTGTGGCCTCAGGCCCTGTACACTGCCAAGAAGGAAGTCATAAGGCTTCCAGAGGCTATATGGTAAGCTGAGTACTGGGCATGTATTGAGCTTTCAAAGCACTGTTACTAGAGGAGATTTTGGTTGTTCCGGCATCCCATCGTGCTTGGGGTTTGTTCTTATTGTGGGTTTTTTTTCTGTTTGTTTTTGTTTTTGTTTTGGTTGTTGCTCTATATTGGTCTGTATTTACTGTATAGACCTGGCTTGTCTTGACTATTTAGTGAACCCCCTACCTCTCTGTCTCCCAAGTGCTGGACTAACAGGTAAGAGTCACCATGCCTGGCTTTGGATGCTGGCACCTTCGTTTCGTTTCTTTTCTTTTTTTTTTAATGACATTATTTATAGTTGGTGATAACTCTTGCTTGTTTTGCTTTGTTTTTTGAAGCAGTATAAGCTGGGAGGCCAAAACGACAGAAATAAGATGCAGGCTTCCTAGCTCCCTGCCTTCTCAAGCTTGTCCCATTTGCCACATCCATCATTACCATCTTACCTGTCATCCACAGCAGCAGGGCCCACCCTCTGCAGGCTGTCTTGGGGTATCCCTCTTTTTGGCTGATGGCCACAGTCCAAGTATGTTCCCATGTCTCTGTTGGCCCCTTTGCCTGCCGGTCCCTTGTAGAGCAGTCTGCCTTGTGCAGATACTGCAGCTACAGCTGCTGGCAGATGAGCAACACACTGTGTTAAGGATCCGCTCCCTCTAGGTGTTAAAGGGACAGTCCTTTTCTTGCATGCTAGAGTCTTGCTCCAGTGGCCCAGAGTCAGGTCATTGATAAACTAGGGGTATAATGGAGAATTGGTCATGAGAAATGTTTTGTAAGATATGAATTGGCAGGTTGGGGATTTAGCTCAGTGGTAGAGCGCTTGTCTAGCGAGCGTAAGGCCCTGAGTTCGGTCCTCAGCTCAGGGGTGGGGGGTGGGGGTAGGGAATATGAATTGGCTTCAGCAGAGTAATCTGGGAAGGTCCCAGAGGGAAATCTTGAGATGGAGGCTAAGAAAGGACCAGTAGTAACTGAGGATTCATCTTGGCAACAGGGAAGTCATTGTGGCTAGGTGAAGGGCACTGGGTCTATAAGCAAGTGGGCTGGGGCATTCCTCTGCACTGTAGGTAGAATGTTAGCATTGATTGCAGAGGGCAGTGTAGAGGTGCGTCCTCATGCTGCGGGTCCAGCACCTGATGCTCCTGAGATGTGCTGGTTACACATGGTATCTTCAGCAAGACTTACCCATTGCCACCACAGAGACCCAGCTTTAACTACCATATAGTTCTAATATTTCTCCTAAAAGTTAGAGTTCCTCAAACCTTCTCTGTGACAGCTCATAGATGTGAAGAGTCAGCAGAATAGTGATTTCCTGGTCTCAATGGATACACTTTAATATCTGGTCCCCCACTCCTTTGGGATGCCACAGGCTGAGATGCCCTAGTACCCTCCCAGCAGCAGTGATGTGTGTGGAGGCAGGACTAGTTGTAGCTTCTCAGACTTTGCCCTCAGCTGGTATGTGAGCAGGCTGGTCCTGGACACTAGAACCACCTGATCCCTTTGCTTCGGGAGACAGTCCTAGCACAGTTCCATGAAGCTATGTGTCCACATTTCCTGCAGGGGAATGCAGCAACAAGGAGTGCCCCTTCCTGCACATCGACCCTGAGTCCAAGATCAAGGACTGCCCTTGGTATGACCGCGGCTTCTGTAAGCATGGTAGGTGATGAGGCCTTCCTCAGGTCCACCTGATCCCCTAGGCTACCAGATGATCCTCTTGAGGCATCACTTCCCCTACCCTACCTGGCTCAGCAAAACCTGATGTGCTGTGGCCAGTGAGACTTGCTATCTATCTGTCTGTCTATCTATCTATCTATTTCCCTTGTGGCAGAGTCTCACTGTTATAGCCCAAGCTCTTTAAACTCAGTTCTCTTCTGTTGGTCTCCCAAGTGCTGGGATTTCAGCTGGGCACTACCACGCCTGCCTGTGGAGCATTTTCCTACCCTTCATTTCCCTCAAGCCTCCCAAGGAAGCTGTGAGCATGTGTTCCCACTTGCATTTTTGATAAGCTCAGCATGGAGAGGCTAGGGTGCTACACACTGTCCCTGCTGAATAAGGCAGGAAGCCAGGATCTGAAGCCGCTCTGTACCTCTGTACCTCTGGCAGTCTAAGCAGGGCTCTGACTGTAGTGGCACACTTAGGCATTGCCTCACTGAAAGGAAGTCTGAATGACCTGAATGCGGGGCTTTGCAGGTCCCCTGTGCAGGCACCGGCACACTCGGAGAGTCATTTGTGTGAATTACCTCGTTGGATTCTGCCCTGAGGGACCTTCATGTAAATTCATGCAGTGAGTATCCTGATACCAGCTTTGCTGCTGCCCCTCTGGGGACATCCTAGGTGCAGCTGGGCTTGGGGTCTGGGTGGAGCTGGGAGGTGGGGAGGAGCCACTGCTATGTCTGCTGCTGCGTCTACTTCTAGAGCCCAAAGGCAGCTCTGCCTAGCCCAGCATTTAACCATCTGTGAGCTGTGGGCCATTGAGGAATCTGGTGAAAGCTATGAGCCCTGTATTCCAGGGAAATTTCCTTGTGGGAATTAGAGATTCACCTGTACTGGCCCTGAGTTTGGTGTTCCATATATAGTAAGTAGTTCATGGACCACAGACAGGTGGAAGAGAGAGAATGTCGTTTCCCATACACAACCCCTGAGGTTCAGGGCTCAGTCAGTGGTGTTGGTCGAGTGCAGAGCCATTTGGACCTCTGAAGCTGGGCTCTTCTTGTACCACAGGATTAGCATCCTTCTCCTAGTCCATAGCCTTGACCTTGAGAATCTAAGTTCCTTACTAGTTGTGGAACTGGGCTTCTGTCTGAAGTGATAATGGGGACTGAAGAGAGCTTTCCCTTTTACTGCTGCTTTAGTCCACATTCCCAACCTGCAGCAGTTGTATAGCTACCTGGTTTGTGTTGTGGTCTCTGCCTTAATGAAGGCAAATGGCCAGTGCTGCTACTGGGTCCTGCTCCTAGATGAAAACCCTGGAGCTTGCATCTGGTCCAGGGATGCCTGCTTATCACCGAATAGTGCTTCTGTGCATTGTCAGGAGGTCCTGACACTCCAATTAGACCGCATGGGGAAGGGGATTCCATGCATGCCTCCTCTCCTGCCCAGCACAAGTACCAGGAAGACCATGCCTTCCTTTAGAGCAGCACTTGCCCAAGGGCTCCACCATCCATTCTTTTGTGCCAGTCTCGCCCTGGGTCCTAAAGTTTGGGATGTTTTGCTCAGAGGGTAAGTGTGGCTTTCAAAACACCACCTGGCCTAACCTCTCATGCCCTGTCATCTTCTCTGACTAGCCCTCGATTTGAACTGCCCATGGGAACTACTGAGCAGCCCCCACTACCACAGCAGACACAGCCTCCAGCAAAGGTATTGTACCCTGGTTGCTCCTGGCCACAGTGGCCTCATTATCCACTCAGTGTGAGGTCTGCTATAAACCCCCCTGGGGGTGGGGGGGCTTGTGAGGAGGGTAAAGGGGGAAGCAGGAGAGAGGCGATGTACTCTCTCATTGCAACAGAAAAATCAGAGCGAAGCAGTTTGCTTCTTTTAGAAATGGAGGGCAGCAAGCCCCAGAGCAGGTGGGAGATGGGTCCATGTAGCAGAATCATTGTAAACATGGACTGTGCAGTTCTGGCTCAGTGGTGTCTGCCTTGGGAACTGAGCCAGGGCACAGGGACTGGGCCCACATTGGCTGTTCTTGCTTCTGAGCCAGAACCTTCCCTTTACAAAGGAAGAAACTTGGCCTTCTGGAGGGAGGGATTTACCTGATGGGTTACTGTCAAGCAGTGGCAGAAATAAGAGCATGACCAAGATTGACTGATAACTGGTTAGTGTCAGCATGGCTCCAGTGGGGATTACTGTCACAAACAGGAATAAAAGATTAGCCAGCCCCACAATCTAGTCAGTGTTTATCCCTAAGCACAAGGAAAGAGGGAAGTGCCATGGATAAACGGGGATGTATAGTAGTACTCAAACCAGGGTACCCTGGGCTTGCTGACAGGAGTGGGCCCAGAGGAAGGGCTGGCCTGCATGACAGGCAGGGCCTTCAGCACCTATACATAAGCTGACTGCACTCCAGAAGCCTCACTTCGGCTGGCTGGCTTTAAGTCAGGAACCATGTCCCCTTTCAGTCCTTCCATTGCCAGAGCCTAAAGGGGCTGCACAGACCCCACCCTTAGGAGATGGTGGCACCAAGCAAATCAGACTTCCTGAGGAGAGCCAGGCAGTCCCTGGCACAAGTGCAGCTTATAGCCTGGGGGTTCCTAGCTCTAGCCTGACATTTCCTGGGTCAGAGCCAAGATCCCATCTGGTTGGAGGTGCCTAGCTCTGGAATCCCCACCTAAGAGCCCCACTCCCCTTTCCCATGTGACTCCCTAGAGGAGGGCCCTCTCAGCCCTAGACTGCAGGCCAGTGTGTCAGGCTCCAACTGTTTTTCTGTGACTGTTGCTCGCCGTGTAGGCTGCTAAACATCTGGCTGAACCAAGCGTTCATCCTGACCTGAAGCTAGAACCTCAAACAAAAGTAAGGCCTGATCATGCCCTCACCCCACTGCCCAGAGACTTCCTCTCGTCTCTTCCATGTTTTCTTTTCTACTTTTAGTTCTTGTCTTTGTGTGTCTGCATGGTGTTTTTCAGACAGCAGCTCCTGCCATCATCACCAGAACCTTCTTTTCGGCCCACTCTCCTGGGGCAGGCCATTGCAGAAGCCCTCTTCCTGCTGGTCATGCGGGAGAGGTCCCGTCCTCTTTTTTTCTGTCCCCATTGGTAGTCCACGTGCACGTGTTTTCCGCAGTAAAACCGTGTTGTGTAACTCTTTCCAGCAAAGTAACAATCCGCCATTACAAAGGTCGTCCTCCTTGATCCAGTTAACGAGTCAGAACTCTTCTCCCAATCAGCAGAGAGCCCCGCAGGTCATTGGGGTCATGCAGAGTCAAAACAGCAGTGCAGGCAACCGGGGACCCCGGCCGTTGGAGCAGGTCACTTGCTACAAGGTGAGTCCCTGGGGTGGGGGTGGGGGTCATTGGAGGACAGGGCAGGGTCTCAGTTAGTGGTCATTCCCTCACTCCTCGGATGTGTGGTTATTGTTGAACATTAAGATGCCATTGCTGGTTCGAAGAGTAAAGGTGGGCTCGTCACCATCCTCCTTCCTGCGCTGCCCAGACAGGGTGGAGGAAGGTACACACTATGCTTTGAAATGAGAATTTCTAAAAAGGGTAGAGGAACAAAATGGAAATGCTTCAGGGCAGAGTGATGCTCAAAGCAGCCCATGTGTGCATGGCAAAGGCACAGGACAAAGTTTGGGCCCACACTGGCAGGAACTGGATTAGGAGCCCAGCCTATACAAGAAATGAACTCTCGGTGATAGGCCCAGTCTCATGAGAGTCTGTAGTTGCTTGCTAGACCTTACATGAGTTTGGGCTTGTGTGTGCATCTTTGGTGAGAGCTAAAAAGTTAAAAGCTTGAGGGTGTACCACTGTATCTGACAGGAACAAGCCCTCATGCTCTGAGGGATGTGTCCACAACTAGACTTCTGAAGGATGAACTTATGATTAAAAAAATCACAAAACATGCTGGGAAATGTTCCACATGGTGAGTCAGCAGTGACACCACAGAACTAGATGTATGAGGACTTCAGGTGTGGGAGGCGGGTCCGTGGGTAAGACATTTGTAACCATGGGTACCAGAGTTTGATCCTTAGCACCTGTGTGCATCCCAGGTGGGCATGGCAGCTTGTCTACCCAGCTCACTAGTGAAGACAAGATCCTGGGGCTAGGTGAGCCAGTCAGTGAGCTCTCGGCTCATTTGAGAGCCTGCCTCAGTGAAGTAGAGAGAAGGAACACTACGTCACTATGTTTGGGGCCTCCACACATGGGCAAACACACATACATGTAGGAATGCGCACGCATGCACGCACATGCACTCTTAGAGCAAGCCTAATCTATCCTTTCTTTATGTAAAACCTTAGGATCATTCCATGGCTATGCATGAAAGTCTGATCTTTTTCAGAGGCTACATAACCACAGCTTATTTCACCAGGTCTGTTAAAAGACAAATTATTTATGGCTTTTGTTCCTAACAATAGCACTGATTTGAACACTTTGGTGTTAGTTAATTCTTGTCTGATGTCCACTGACATCTGCTTTTTGCTGGCTTGTGAGTCACAGGGTGTTCATACACATTGGCCTTAGGCAGTGCTATACAGCTAGGCATTGTTTGATACCATGCTCTATCCCGGAGAAGTTTCTATTCCTGGAGGAAGGGAAGGAAGTGCTTAAGGAAAACTCAAAGGGAAAGTGTGTATGGATTCGGGTGCACTAAATTTCTGACTTGTTGGAGCTGGTTCTTCAGCACTAAGATAAGGGATCTGTGGAGCTGGGGAGGGAGAGCTTTCCTGGTCATTTCTCAAAGACGGCATCCTAAAGCAGCGTAGCTGTCATCGTGCTTCCATCTAGCACCATGCAGCAGCTTCCTCTATGAAGCAAACACTCAGGTCCTGAGACTAACAAGATGGGGTTAGGGATACTGACCACTACCACAGGACAGACCGTTACCCAGGACCAGCTATGGAGACAAGTGTATGTGCCTGGTCCTGGAATGGGGCTTCCTGGTGGTCACATCAGTCCACTGGCTGCTAATCTACACCAGTCATCAACACAGAAGCCACATCTGAGTAGTGGTATGGTAATACATGCCTTTAAACTCCGCACATGCGAGCCAGAAGCAGGCAGATCTCTGAGTTCAAGGCCAGCCAGGGCTACCCAATGTGAGACCTTCAAGTGCTGGATACTGACAGGCTGCCACTAAGGAAGCCAGGACTGAGTTGGCATGGGCATGGGGACCTGATGGAGAATCAGCACCGAATTGTGGTCCCTTGCAATCTCCTGCCCTTTTGTTCAGTGTTAGACCAAGGCTGCTGTTCATTTCTGGATAATTCTCTCTTGAGGCAGTAGAACAGGTACTACAGAATGGCTAAGTTAGGGTTAGTTATAGCTCTGTCAGGTGACAGCTATACCTTCTCCAGGTTGAGGGACTGAGATTGCTCTGGCCCTGTGGTCAAAGCCTGTCCTCAAATAGTTGGAAATGTGTACAAGATCCAGGGGGGAAAGCTAGACCCACCCTCAGTGTTCTCAGCAATGGCTCCCTGAATTGGGGCAGGAGCCTGGCAGTTTCTTTCGGGTTGGTCCCTCCTATCTTTTCTAGGAACCCCAGACATTGGCTCAGAGGTAAGGTGATTGGCCTGCCCTGTGGAGGGGCAGGTGGGGAGCTCCTAGGTGCTGGGGGAGCCTGTTGGGCAGGCTTGGGTCCAGTACAGGTACAGTGGGGCTGGGGAGCTGCTCCCTGTGTCAGCCCTGTTGCCTCTTCTGAGCTTCTTCACAGGCACTGCCTTAGATAGCATACCAACTCTCACGCTTTTCTCTTTCCTTCCCTCCTGTTCCCAGTGTGGTGAAAAAGGACACTACGCCAACAGATGCACCAAAGGGCATCTGGCCTTTCTCAGTGGACAGTGACAGCAGCTGGAATCTGTGGAGCAGCCCGAGAGCCCTGCTGTTGGGAACAAGCACTTGGCTGCTGAATGGAGTGCTGGCAGGACTTTGCTAGAGCCGCAGGCACACTTGCCAGGGCACATTCGAGGGGCCATGTCTGTCCTATCACTTTGCTGTAATCTTTTTTTTTTTTTAAGAAGGAACGTGTGCTTCAGTTGGTTCCCTGGGCCAGTTTGCTTGGACGTCAGTGCCTCATTTTTTTTGGACTCCCTGCACACTGCCCTCTGGGGACAGAGAAGCTGGGAAGGACTGCTTCTTGGTCTTGTGTGGAAGATGGCCAGCAGTCCCCCTCAGGGCCTCATTAAACACCAGCACCTGGAGAGGATGGGTGGACCATGTGGAGCTGTGGCCAGGTCAGCCTGCTTTCTCCATGTCCAGCTGAAGCCTCAAGCTGTGCCTATGTGACTTGAACAGGGAGCCCTTCCTGACAGACTTGGAGCATCCACTGCCTGGCCTGGCCCTGGCACATTGTGGTGTCAGGCTCCCAGGCGGAGCTGCTTTTCTGGGCTTGCTTTCTCGGGGAGCCCTGACCGTGCTTCGGGTACACCTTCAGCCAGTGCTGCAGACCACCTTAAATAGCTCACCCAACTGATCTGCGCCTACCTCCTGCCAAGCAAGCTCTGTCACTCAGACCCTGTGGCATGCAGAGGCCACCCATCCTTGAGCCAAGAAAATGTGAATCCATCACCTGCAACCTGCTGGGCGAGTGGGCCTATCTAAGTTCAGTTACAAGAATACTTTTTATGAAGTTGATTAAAAAGCTTGTTTTTTAGCCTGCGTTTCATTACTTTAGGGACTTAGCATATTATACCTCATGTTACCTTTGATGATATCTAGTCATCCAAGCCAGGCCTAGCTCTATCCCCATTCAGGTAGGCTCTATGCAGTGAGTATTCTCCATTCCTCTCCTCCACTCCAGTAAGGAATTAGGAGCTTGGCCTTAAATCTTGAAGAGGCAGTAATGGGGAGTGCTGCAGGGAGAGTGGTGAGCTTCCTTTAGGCAGGCTGGTACCTCTTATCATCCATCCACAAAGTTTTAACTCTAGCCATTTTACCATGCTGGTAGTTCTCATGCAGAAAGGAGGGTTGGAAGACATTCAGGCTATCCCCAAATCCCTCACATTGTTAAAATGTTAAAAGGCTGGAGAGATGACTTAGTAGTTATAAGCACTGGCTGTTCTTCAGAGGCCCCTAGTTGATTCCTAGCACCCACAACCACCTGTAACTCCAGTTCCAGGGGATCTCATACCCTCCACTGGCTTCTGTAGTATCAGAAACACAAATGGTCCAGATTGTGTGTGTGTGTGTGTGTGTGTGTGTGTGTGTGTGTGTGTATATAAATAGAGAGAGAGAGAGAGACACGGGGGGGGGGGGGGGCAAATACCTATACACACAATTTAAAATTGTAATTTAAAAACATTTGCTGCCCTTATAGTACCTGGGTTTTATTCCCAGAACCCAAATGGCAGCTAATAACTAACTCTAGTTCCAAAGGATTCAATAACCTTATCTTTGTGGGCATCAGGCACACATGTGATGTGCATACATATATACACACAGGGAAAATACCCATGCACAAAATTTTTTTAAAAAGCCAGGTGTGGTAGCCCACATCTTTGATCCTATCACTTGTGAGGCAGAAGCAGGCTGGTTCTTGACTTTGAGCCCAGACTGGTCTGCATGTTCAGGACAGCCAGAGCTAAGTAGAGACTCGGTCCCCCAAAAGAAAAATTGTCATGAGTCAGGGCCCATGCTTTGTCTGCCAACCAAAGGCCACAGCACCTCTAAACAGCCACAGTGCTTATGGCAGAGGGCAAGCCTCTTGGGCGGTTGGGCCCCAGATGACATGCTACCCACAGTGAGCTGGGACACAATCCCAAGCAACACAGCGGTGTACAGAGCCAGTCATGGGCTGTGTGACAAAGGAACAGCACAGAACATGACTACACCAGGCAAGCAGTGCATGAGCCAATCACCTTTTATTGGACACTAGTTCTTATGACACGAAGCCTCAGCCACAGTTGGATTCCTGGATGGGAGTGGGGCAGGCGGCTGTGCTCCGGTGTGCAGTGCCCTCCACAGTGACCCTTCTTCAGTGGTACTTGCGTCGCCGTTCATGTTCTAGAGTTAGGAAAAACAGTCTCCCACTGTGTGCTCCAGTGAAAGCACAGGCGAGTGGTGGCAACAGTTCCCAATCGAGCGAATCCTTAGGACCTGCCATCTGGCTCATTTCCTCCCACGTGAGATGCCTAAACTGGTTTCCTTAACAGCCCCCCAACTAGAAGTGTTGCCCAGGTCCACTGAGACTGGCAGGAGCTGGTGCTATGAGAACAGCTGTGAAATCTAGTCAGAGGCGGCTGTTCCCAGTCTCCCGTCAGGTTTCACCAGCCCAGGCCTGAGACAGGAATAGCTGTGCCTTGCCAGACACTGGATCATACTACTCAACCTACTGCCTTCTTCACATTGGCTGCTAGGAGGATAAGCCAGCTTCCAGCATTGTATATTATGCTTCCCAAACGCTAAACTTTAGCCTAATTCCATCTTATTTTTCCTGTGATCTTTTTCATAAGCTCCTCACTTGAAATGGTATCATACATGCCACATTACTGTAACTTCCTTTCAGGGTGAAGAACAGGTAAGGAGCATCCCAAAGCTCCACTGCTGATTGTGGATTGCCACATCTAACAAAGCCAGCGTCCTGGGTAGCAGGAAGCTGAGTCATGCCAGAGCACTTACTGAGTTCCTTGTAAGAAAGGCAGTAGCTGAAAACCACGTAGGCTGCCAGCACCATGTTAATCCCCGAGATGCTGCCTTTCCGCACGTTGATGTACTTGTTGTAATACCGGTCAGAACCTGCAACAGAGGAGGTGCTTGCTGTCAATAATGCTTCTGACAGTGTACAGTGAGATCCCGGGGGGGGGGGGGGGGGGGGGGGGGCCTCTCACAGCAACCCACCCTACATTCATTGATGATGGTGGACAGCACAAATGCCCTGTGGGATTCTGTCCCCATGACCCAAGACTAGCCCCAGAGCTAAGGCCCATTTTAACAGGGCAGCTACACTTTCTTTGGCTTTAGCCTTATAAATTTGGCTCAGCTTGTTAATCTTTGCTCCTACTTCACTCCCACCTCCAGCCTGGGGACCCTCTTATTCTAATTCTGCCCCAGATTCCAACCCCCAATAAGGGCCACTTCACCAGAGCCAGCTAGGTTGACTAATGAAGCCCCTCATGACAGCACTGAGTGCCTTAAATATAAGCAGCCAGGTGCACTCACCAGAGAGGGTATAAACATACTCTAGTCAGTGAAAAAGAATGAACAAGGTGAGATGGCACACTGTGGGTAGAGGCAGAAGGATCACAAGTTCAGAGTTATTCTCAGTTACAAACTGAATTTGAGGCCTGCTTACCTGAGACCCTGTCTCACATAACAAACAAAAAAGGCACCTCAGAGGTAAAGCAGGGGGATCTCTTGAGTTCAGACCAGCCTGCTCTACAAGTTTTATCGCAGCCACAGCTATATAGTGAGATCCAAACAACAAAACGGAATGTTTTGATAGGCATTATTAAAAGTTTAAAACACCAAGGATTGCCCAGGAGGAGCTATAAACATAGGCCACATTAATTTCCTGGACAGCTGTGAATAGATATGGGGGTAAAAGGTAGAATATTCTGAGGGCAGAACTGGAGGGAAAGCCTCAAGACCAAGTCACAGGAATGATAGCATGGGGTGGCCAGATTAGGAAAATACATCCCTTGAGGAGGTCAGAGGCCATGCATGACTCCACTGAAGATCTGACCAGTCCTGTACTTACTATATGCACAGGCCTAAAGGATGGGCCATTTGAAATGTTTAGGAAGGCTTGAAGAAGGATGAGCATGGTACAGGCTGATGACCACCATGATTCAAACTCATTTTCTTCTCAAAGAAGTCTCTGTTTGTTTATAATTTTTCTTTTTGAGACTAGAGTCTCATGTATCACAGCCAACAAATTTCGTAAAGGTGACACTGAACTCTAGATCCTCCTGCCTCCAGCTTCCTAGTGCTAGAAGTACAGGTGTGTGTAAACACATCTGGTTTTTCAGTTTCCTCTAAGACAGAGGCACTGATCCAAAGCAATAAAATTATTGTGAGCTGGGCATGGTGGCACCATTACTTGGGAGGCTGAGGTAGGTTCAAGGAAAGCTCAAGGCTAGTTCATGGCCTCAAAAGATGGTAAACATTTCCTGGGCTGAAACATCTCAGAGCTCACCTTTGTTGTTGTTTTTATGTGTATGCATGCAAATGGTGTGTGCATTTTCCCGTTCACAGATGTGAGAGAAAGTGTGTGGAGGCAGAGGTCGGCGTCAGGTAGCTATTGATCTCCATGTTTTGAGGCAGGTGGCTCACTGAACTTGGAGCTGACCAGTTAGCTAGACTAACTAGCAGCCAGTGAGCTCCTGGGAGGGATCCTCCCATCTCTGCCTCTCAGTGCTGGAACCACAGGCACACACTGCTTTTTTTTGTTTGTTGGTTTGTTTGTTTTTTGAGATAGGGTTTCTCTGTGTAACAGCCTTGGCTGTCCTGGAACTCGCTCTGTAGCCCAGGCTGGCCTCAAACTCACAGAGATCTGCCTGCCTCTGTGTGCGCTACCACTGCTGGGCCACACAGTGCTTTTAACGTGGGCACTGGGACCAAACCCCAATGTCCACGTGCTTGCATAGCAACCACATCACCCACTGAGCCATTTCCCTTCCCACATAGTCAGCCTTTGTTTTATTCTGTTTAGAGACAGGGTTTCTCTGTGTAACAGCCCTGGCTGTCCTCGAACTCAGAGATCCAGGCGTGCACCACCATTCCCAGCTTCACGGTCAGCCTTTGATAGGCTCATGCAAATACAAAAATTCAGGAATTAACCACCATCATCGCCCCCTCTACAAAACCAACAAATCTCAAGACAGAAAGGCCTTTATCAGCCAGATTAACTCACAGCAAAAAGAGACCGGAAGACAAGAGCACTGCTTTTGTGCTCACAACCCTGAGTCACTGACCTCTCTGAAAGGCCCCCACTATGCCGCTGGGGGTGAAATTCCGCATCATTATCCAGCTTGGCAGCTCTCCAAGTTTAACCTCCATGAGCTTCTTATCCTTCAGTGGCACTGAAAGAAAAACAAAACAAAAACACTGACGAACCTTTCAGCAACACAGACAGCACTCTCCCATGTACCATTTCAACTATTCTTGCAGGTATAGGAAGTACACAGATGCTGCACATCAGTCATTTTCTGAATAAATATATCAATCAAAACCAGTATTGTAGGCCTAAGCCTATGTAATAGAGCTGTGTAGTAAAAACTTTAAACACCAAGGGCTGGAGAGATGGCTCAGCAGACAAGAACTCAGAGGACCTGGATTTAATTCCCAGCATCCACATGGCAGCTCCTAACAGTCTATAATCCAGTCACCTTCTGGTCCCCTCTGGCACCAGGCATGTATGTGATGTAAAGACATGCACACAGGCAAAAGTACCCATACACCTAAAAAGTAAGATTAAAAAAGAAAAAAGCTTTATAAACCAACAATATGTCTAGTAGTTTACTGAGAATGACTGTAAAGAAGAGAGCTAAGGGCCACAAAAAAGAATAAAATGGAGGGAGTTGGTAGAGCACTTGCCTAGCAAGCTCAAGGTCCTGGGTTCGATCCTCAACTCCAGAAAAAAAAAAAAAAAAGAAGAAGAAAGAATAAAATGGAGAGCAGCATAGAGCACTATAAAGCTAACATTTAAATCAAGCATGGTGGCACACACCTGTAATCCCAGCTCTCAGGAGGTGTGGACACGATGATCAAGATATCAAAGTGTGAACTACAAACAAAACTGTCTCAAAAAAATAAAAATCACACTGGAGAGATGGTTCAGAGGTTAAGAGCACTGGCTGCTCTTCCAGAGGTCCTGAGTTCAATTCCCAGCAACCATATAGTGGCTCACAACCATCCAGAATGATATCTGGTGCCCTCATCTGGTTTGCAGGCATACATGCAGGCAGAACATTGTACACATAATAAATAAATCAATCCCTAACATTTGCCTTCCTTGTTTCATTTACTTGATTTATTTTTAATTATGTGTGTGTTAGGTATGTACACATAAGGACAAGTGCCCCAAGAGGACAAATGCTTTGGATCCCACGTTGCTGTAGTTACACTGGTTTGTGAGGCGCGTTATGTGGGTGCTGGGAACCAAACCCAGGTCCTCTAGAAGAATAACAAGTGTTCTTAACCACCAAGCCACCTTGCCAGCTCTGCTTTCCCTTCAGTCGTCACACAGAGTTAATGATCACCCCACGGTGAGAAGAACCCATACACTGGAAGGAAGCAAATCAAACCTCACAACTTGTCTCCATGCTCTGGGAACCAATCTCAGGACAGGTCTGTCCAACCCCTGGGGATCTGTGCCTGAGAACATCCAAGGGTTTGGAGGAGAACCGACCCCCACAAATTGTTCTTTAACTTCCACATGCACGCCATCGCATGCATATGCTTGCACACACAAAATATTGTTAACAAAAAATAATTTTAAAAAGCTGAGCATGGTGGTGCATGCCTTTTATTATCCCAACACTCTGTAAATTCAAGGCTAGCCTACATAGTAAGTTCCAGGACAGACAGGGCTGCATACAGAGACCCTGTCTCAAAATAAAATAAAAGATTTATTTTTACGAAGTTGGGGAGATGGCTCAGTGGTTAAGAACACTGGCTGCTCTTCCAGAGGATCCAAGTTCTATTCCCAGCATTCACATGGCAGGTCACAACTGTCTGTAATTCCATTCCAGGGGCTCTGACACCATCAGACACACATGCAGGCCAAATAACAATGCACATAAAATAAAAATAAAATCATTTAAAACTTTTACAAAATATTTATTTTTATTATATGTACTTGAGTATTTTGCCTGCATGCATGTATGTACACCATATTCGTGCCTGGTATCCAAAGAGATAAGAGGAAGGCATCAGATGCCCTGGAACTGGAGTTACAGATGAATATGAACCATGTGGGAGCTAGGAACCAAACTCTGGTCCTCCGAAAGAGCAACAAGTGCTCTTAACCATTGAGACATCCTAGACAACACCCCGTCTCCCAAATGTTATGTGCTACTAGTAACTGTTATTTCCCTCACTTAAAAAAAAAAAAAAATCAATACTTAGGAGGCATAAACTCCAATTCCTTTACCAGAGTAACAGTGAATAAGTCAGGTTATGTGAACTGATCTTATTCAAATGCCCCAGAGGAAATCCAGATGCCCAGCTCACATCAACAGAGTCCTGCATTGTGGGCCAGCGATTTTGTTCCATTATCTTTGTTTCTTGAAACAAGGTCTGTCTCTCTCTATAGCCCTGGCTGTCCTAGAACTTGATATGCAGATCAGGCTGACCTTGAACTCAGAGATCTGCCTGCCTTTGCCTCCAGAGAACTGGGATTAAAAGTATGTGCAGTAAAGCCAGCCTGGTCTACAGAGCTAGTTCCGGGACAGCTGCTACACAGAGAAACCTTGTTTTGAACCTCCCTCTCCGCAAAAAAGTATATGCAGTAGTGAAAACCCTGGAAAGTTGTTTTCTGATCTCTATAGTTTCCTTATGGCTCTTCTGTGCATGTGCACACACATACTCTCATGTGCCACCATGCCCTGTCTTTTAGGGTTTTTTGTTTGTTTTTTTAAGACAGGGTCTTACAAGCTGGAATTAAACTTGCTGCTGTGTGCCACGGATGTTGTTGGATACCCGATCCTGCCACCTTCCAAATGCTAGAATCACAGGTTTTATGTGGTGCTGGGGGTAGAACCCAGGACTTTGTGCATGCTAGCCAAGCACTGTACCAACAAAGCTATAACTCTATTACCCACCCCCAAATACCTTTCTTGAACTAAATTATCTTTTGGGTTGAGACAGGGTATTTCTATGTAGTACTGAAGGGCCTTAAACTCATGGCCATCCCCCTGCCTTAGCTCCCCAAGTGCTAGAATGACAGTTGTGCATTACCACCTCCAGCTAACTAAGTGTACTAAATTTTTTAGTCCTTAGTCCAAAGGGCTCCTCACACTAATCGTCTACTTAAATAAGATCAAAAACTTCAAGCCTGGTATGGTGGTACATTGCCTTTGATTCCAACACCCAGGAGGCAGAAGCAGGGAGATTTCTTTGAGTTCAAGGACAGCCTGGTCTACATAGTGAGTTCTAAGACAGCCAGGGCTATTTTAGAGAGAATCTGTCTTAAAAAAAAAAAAGCGCCAAATTTCAAATTTTTTTTCAACTCTTTTTTTTTTTTTTTTTTGAGAATGGTCTACTTATATAGCCCAGGCTGGCCTTAACTTGGGGAATCATTCTTCTTCAACCTCTTAAGCAGTTTCATCAATGCTCTTCACACTCTCTTCTGAAAACACTGTGTGCACTAATAATCTGGCATTTTACAGATAAAACAGCTTCTAAAGCCCTGGGTGGTGGTCCTAGCACTTGGGAGGCCAACCTGGTCTACAGAGCGAGTTCCAAGATAGCTAGAACTACACAAAGAAACCCTGGTCTTGAAAAGCCAAAAACCAAACCAACCAACCAACCAAACAAACAAACAAACCCCAGCTTCTTCACAGTCCATTTTTAGACAACCCACCCCTTCATCTTCGCAGGCTGAGATAAAGAATACAGGAACAAGCTGAGCATACATAGCGGCATAGGCCTGTAATCCTAGCACTCAGAGGCTAACAACAGAGGCTGCAAGTTCAGGGCCAACCTGGGCTACACGGAGAAGCCCTGTCTCAAAAGGAGGGGAGTAGACAACCGTGAAATGGCTAGCTGACTACCGTAGTTTCATCCCAGGAAGGAGAAGCCACTTCTCAAACTGTCCTCTAACCTGCTGCTGTACACAAGCTCCAGCACTCCCTTGACCATACCTAGACACACACATCATACACATAATATGTAATTCCAACAGTGCACAATGAATGAGTGTAAAGATTTACACGCGAGTGTTAAAGGAACGCTTGCTTGTCTGTCACATGGAAATCTTTGCGAATTAATCCCATTTACCAAGAAGCCCCGCCAACCGAGGTCTGAATCCCAACTAGGCTCTCAGGACTTGTGACCTTGAACAGGTCACTTCACCTCGGTAGGCGTGTTCAAATGAAGCCTGTGTAACATAATATGTCCGGACCCATCCTAGGCAACTGCTGCTCCTGAACCTTAATTTGAACCTCAGCTTTGGGACGGACAGGCGCTGCCGTGCCTAAAAGTTCAAGTGCCCCCGTCTGCGTCGCAGGAGGAAAAAGCAGCAGCTTAGTCCTCGGCGGAGAGGCAAACAAATGGTTCCCGGCAGCGCATGTGCAGGCCGGGAGAAGCCGCTCCAGGCTGCCTCGGCCTTGCACCGCCCGGCCCTGCGATGCACAGCGGTAATCCGCGGAGAGTGCACGGAGAAGGGCGGGCAACGCAGACCCTCGGAGCAAGTGTCCAGCGCGCCTCAAGGGAGGCCGCGGTGAAGTCCCCGGGAGAAGGGCAAGTGTCCCCGCAGCTCCTCCTCACCCCACCGTGGGCCTGGATCCTGCGCCCAGCTCGGGCTTCTAACCCCGCGGCCAGGCAAGAGCCGACGACTCACCGAGCGACGCCATCTTGCAGTCCCGGTGTCCGCAAAACCCTGCCGGGCGCGAGGGCTGCTGGGAAGGGAGAAAGCCCGGGTGCGGGCGCGCGGAGCGGAGGCTCGCCGGAAGTAGGTCGCCTTAGGCAGAGCGTCGGACTCGAGGGTGCCTTGAAGGGGAGGGCAGCTCCTTAGAGAGTAAAGTCCCCGCGGACCCTGCATTTTGGGACCAGACGGAAGAAAAGAACAAAAGGGGGAAAGGGACATTCTGGCTTTTTGTCCTCTGCTTTTGGATCTGAGAAATGCGGGAGGTTAGAAATGTGGCCCAATCCTGAGTGCTCAAGGCTCTGGTTTCAATCTATGCTGAAAAGAAAAAGGAAAAGCAGAGAAGTCTTGAAGGCGGGAACATTTCGTGCCCTCCCCAATTCCTTTTACCCGCTATTCACTGGGCTCTGACCCCAGACTCCTCTGAGTTCCATTCAAGATGCTTAAGTGGTTTCCATGATTGCAAAGACTGACCTTCTAAAGCTCATAAAGGTAGTTTATCTGACCGACAGAAGAAAGTTCAGGTTTAAGCTGTGTTTGGGCCAAGGTCAGGCTACCATATAGCTATAGGCAATTATCTTACCACTAATTCTCAACTTTGGGCATTCTCTTTTCCAGCCTTGAATACAGCAAAACTGTGTGAAATGACAGAGTCAGTCTGGTATGTGTTCTAGGTTGGCTTCGAACTTTCCTCCAGCCTCAGCATCTCAAGTGTCGGGATTACAGGTGTGCACTACCTATATAAACTGACATGACCGCTCCATGGTATGATTAAGGTGAAGGGGTTTTTGTTGTTTTGTTTTGTTTTGATGTGTATGGGTATTGCGTGCATGTATGTCTGTATACCACATGTATGCAGGGCCCACTAAGGTCAAAAGAGGGCATTGTATCCCCTGGAGCTGGAGTTGTGAGCTCTTATGTGGGTCGTGGAAATCATACCTAGGTCCTCTGGAAGAGTAACAAGTGCTTTTAACTATTTAGCCATCTTCCCAGCTCCCATAGGGGGAAGGTTTTTATTGTAGATGTGCGAGAGAGAAAACAGCCATCTGGAAGAGTCCAGAGTGGAGAGAGAAAGAAATAGACTGAACATGGCCAACAAACTGGATATGGCTGGGGCTATTTGTGAGAGAGAGAGGAGGGGATAGAGAATAGAGAAACCAGTGAAGCCAGGCTGTGGTGGTGCACTCCTTTAATTACTTGGGAGGCAGAGGTGGATCTCTGAGTTTGAGGCCAGCATGATCTACAGAGTGAGGACAGCCAGGGATACACAGAGAAACCCCGTTTCAAAAGGGGGGGGCAGAAACAGAACATAGAACATATGGAGAATAGTGGGGTTATAAGGAGAATGAATAGCTGGGGGAAGGGAAACTAGGGAGATGCCAGGATGTTATAGCATTGACTTTGAAATGGGTAACAAGTACTTGTAATACTGAGGGAGCCTGGAGGCCAGCATGCACTTTGATATGTCGATAGACACCCTAGGTAGCAATATGTCTCTTTAGCCAGAGGGAGGGGAATTGACTCATTTTGGCAGAGGGAAACTGGCTTCAAAAGTTCCTTAGGAATGCTGGCTTATGTAACTGCCAGAAATCCTCGTATAGTCCAAGTTGAGCTCATTTCTGGATATTTGGACTGGCTTTTGGAGTTTAGTGGCAAAGCATTAGGGAAAAAGAACTGTTCCAGGAAAAAGGGACTGCAGTAAGCAAAATTTACTGGGAGTTGTTAGGATAGCAGGAGGCTGTTCCTACTGAGACAAGGGGTCAGCAGACTTCAGACACACCTGCACAGCTGGAAATGGAGGACGAAGATGGAATTGGTATGTTCCAGCAGCAGACAGGTGTCCACTAAAAAGAGAACCTGCTACTTTACTCCACAATTTTGTCACAGATCAAGAATGCATTCCTAATTAGAAAGCCGCAATTTGGTTCCACCACATTCTGACTACTACAGTATAGTTTCCTTTATTCTTTCATTTCTCCGTCCCCATTTCTTCTTTTTTAAACCGAATAGCCACTGTTCTGTTTCGGCTGACATTAGATGGAGATGGTCTGAGGGAAAGCACTGGTTCTGTGAAAATATCCCCCTTCTCCATTAGTGGCATGCTTATTCAGCTCTTGACTTTATATTCCAGTAAGTTATTTTGCTCTCATTGTTGTAATGAAAGAATCCAACACCATAAAAATCCTTGCATACCTTGTTTGACTGGAGAATTTTAATGTTTTTATCATTGTAAAACCAAGGACAGTTTTATTACTTTTTTTGGACATAGCTGTTACATGTAGGGAAATCTTTGTTTTTCAAGACAGGGTTTCTCTGTGTAGTTTTGGTGCCTATCTTGGATCTTGCTCTGTAGACAAGGCTGGCCTCGAACTCACAGAGATCCGCCTGGCTCTGCCTCCCAAATACTGGGATTAAAGGTGTATGCCATTGCCGCCCGGCCGGGATAAATTACTCTTGAACAAAATGATCCTAGATAGTTTTCCCTTTGAGTCAAGCATCTTATTTAAATAAACTTGTTTAAAATGAAAAAATAAAACTTCAAAGCAATGTCCCAGGCCTTGGCGCATTTTAAAAAATGTTTATTTAGTGTAGGGGTGAGGCATGTATGTGGCACAGCACGTGAGGGCAGAGACACCTTTTGGGTTATCAGTTTTCCCTTTTACCATGTTGGTCCCAGGGATAGAATTCAGGTCGTCTGACTGGGTGGCAAGCGCTCTTACTGCTGAACCATCTCCTTAACCCTGAGGCCATAGGATTCAAATGCACCATGAAATTCCCTGATTTTCTTTTTTTTTTTTTTTAAATATTTATTTTATTATGTATATAGTCTTCTGCCTGCATGTGTCCCTGCAGGCCAGAAGAGGGCACCAGATCTCATTACAGGAGGTTGTGAGCCACTATGTGGTTGCTGGGAATTGAACTCAGGACCTCTGGAAGAACAGTCGGTGCTCTTAACTGCTGAGCCATCTCTCCAGCCTCACCCCTGATTTTCTTTTCAAAACAGGGCTTCTCTGTGTAACCCTGGCTATCCTAGAACTCCCTTTGTAGACTAGGCTGGCCTCAAACCCAGGAGATCTGCCCGCCTCTGCCTCTGGAGTGCTGGGACTGAAAGCATGTGCCACAATGGAAAAAAAATTTTTTTTTTTTTTTTTTTGAGACAGGGTTTCTCTGTGTAGCCTTGGCTGTCCTGGAACTCCTTCCCTCTATAACCAGGCTGGCCTCGAACTCACAGAGCTCCACCTGCTTCTTCTTGCCACTATCCTCCAGTGCTGGAATTAAATGAGTGCACCACCACCACCCAGCCCATGAAATTATTTTTTTGTTAAGATTTATTTATTTATTATGTATACAATGTTCTGCCTGCAGGGATACATGCAGGCCAGAAGAGGGTACCAGATCTCATTACAGATGGTTATGAGCCACCATATGGTTGCTGGGAATTGAACTCAGGACCTCCAGAAGAACAGCTAGTGCTCTTAACATCTCTCTAGCGCCCCATGAAATTCTTTATAAGAGCATCTATTAAGGTTCAAATCAAGCCAGGCATGGTGGAACATGCCTTTAATCCTAGCACTTGGAAGGAAGAGGTAGGAGAATCTCTGTGAGTTCTAGGCCAGCCAGGTCTACATAGTATACTCCAGGATAGCCAGAGCTACATAATGAGACTGTCTCAAAAAACAAACAAAATGGTTCAAATCAGACCTAATCTGTCTTATGTGAGAGGCCTAAGGAAATCTGTCTATGAGTGACTGAAATGTTCCAAATGACAAAGAAAATAGTTTCTGGATAAAGAAACAACTGAACAATCAAAACACAAGTCATGCTGGGCATGGTGGCGTACACCTTTAATCTCATCACTCAGGAGGCAGATGCGGAGGCAGGTTGATCTCCAAGTTTGAGGCCAGCCTGGTCTACATAGCTACTTCCAGGTCAGCCGAGGCTGCACAGTGCGACCTTTTTCTCAGAAATAGCAGCAATAGCAAACCCACCACATGAGTCACGCAGAGACATATGAAAGCTAGGAGACTATAGTTCGGTGGATTCTCTGGTGTCGGACAAGGTGTGTACTCTGTCTAAATCTTTCACCACACTGAAGACATTTATAAGGTTTTTCTCCGGTGTGAGTTCTCTGGTGTTTAATGAGGGTTGCACTCTGACTGAAACTTTTCCCACAGACAAAACACACGTACGGCTTCTCTCCCGTGTGGATTCTCTGGTGCTTAAAGAGGTCTGAGCGCTGTTTGAAGCTCTTCTCGCAGTCCTCACATTTGTATGGTCTCTCCCCTTTGTGTAGTCTCTGATGTTTAGGAAGGCTGGAAATATGAAAGATCTCCCCACATTCCTCACATTTATAGTACTTCTCACTGGCATGGGTTCTCTGATGCCGACTGAGATGTGAGCTCTGCCTGAAGCATTCCCCACATTCTGGGCATGCGTACGGCTTCTCCCCTGTGTGTGTCCGCTGGTGTTTAACAAGGGCAGCACTCTGGCTGAAGCTTTTCCCACATGCTTGGCACTGATAGGGCTTCTCCCCTGTGTGGGTCCGCTGGTGTTTAAAGAGGTCTGAGCGCTGTCTGAACCTCTTCCCACAACTGTCACAATTATAGGGTTTGTCTTCACGGAGCCCCAAACTGCTGTCCACAGGGTCCTGAGGTGTCACTGCATGGCATTTCCCATGGAAGCCTTGTTTGTGGTCGTTCCCATAGTCACCATTGGTACTGAGCCTCTTTGCTGTCTGGCTGTGTTGACCAAGGCCAAAGCTGGCACTGTTCCCCAGTTCACTATTTTTAGAAACTCCTTCTTCCTTGGACACACCAGTGAGATGTGAGATGGTGGTGTGTCCTTGCTCTTCAGCAGCACTCTGGAGCACTACAGTGTCTTTTGGCAGCTTTTCCTCCCAGTCCTCAAGGGTATCACCACCCTTGGTAAATCGTGGGACCTTTCCCTGGGATACGTCTTGTGTCCATGCCTGTGGCTCTGCTTCCTTCAAAGTTTCTTGCTTTGGAATCCAGTCTGTGCTCGAAGCACTGGTTTCCAAGCCTACAACATGAAAACATAAGCTACTGTTATCTCACCTCTGGGTACCAGTTAAAGAGAAATGCTGGTAGAGGAAGCACCTCTAACCTGTGTCTAAGTGTTCCTCACCAAAGGCCTCCAGTGAAACCGAATGAACCCGTCAGGGCCATGCACTTGGCTTCGGTATTTGTTTCTACAGCCACCGAGCTATTCTTCCCTGGTCCCATTGCATTGCTACGGATCTCATACTAAGAGAGGTGAAATGGAAAGGATGTCAGGACAGGCTGGATCGCCTTTATGCCATGAATGTGGGATGGATTAATATGAGAAAGTCTCTCCATGGTGCGTGATAATGGACATAGGGTGGTAGCCCCAAAGTCTGAAGGCAAGGTCTCAGTGGAGGTCAATCCAGGATTGGTTAAAAGTCTATAAATTGTCCTCTGACCTCTACACATACACCCATACTATACGCATGTTCATTCTCACAAACACATGTAAGTGGGGAGGGGCCCATGAGATCCCAACTCTAGCTGAGGAGCTACTGCTAATTAATCACTGCTGGGGGAGCCAGGGTGAATTTTCTTCAAGGATGTAGCCATTGTTAAGTTGACCAGGCTCTAGCAAATAAACCCACACTCATGCACATGTAAACCCTTATTAAAACAAACACCACAAACTTGAATGTAGGAGGGGGCATGTTGGGAAGAAGGTTTCTAGAGGGAGTGGGAAGAGGTAAGAGAGGAATGGAAGAGAGCATGCTGGGAAAAAGAAGGGTTCCAGAGGGAGGGGTTAAGAGAGGGAGGTGGATAGGAACAGGGGCATTCTGGGAGGAAGGATTCCAGAGGGAGTGGGAAAGGAGAAGAGAGGAACGGGGGTTGATTCTGATCAAAGTACATTATATATATATATGAAATTATCAAAGAACAGGTAAAATTTTATTAAAGGCCAGGTGTAGTGGCACACATTCTTTTTTTTTTTTTTTTTTTTTTTTTTTGGTTTTTCGAGACAGGGTTTCCCTGTGTAGCTTTGCGCCTTTCCTGGAACTTGCTTGGTAGCCCAGGCTGGCCTCGAACTCACAGAGATCCTCCTGGCTCTGCCTCCCGAGTGCTGGGATTAAAGGCGTGCGCCACCACCGCCCGGCTGTGGCACACATTCTTAATTCCAGCACTCAGAAGGCCAAGGCAGACAGATCTCTGTGAGTTCAACTAACCTAGTCTATACAGTGAGTTCCAGGCCAGCCACAGTTACATAGTGAGATTCTGTCTCAAAAAATATTAAAAACAAACACATGCACACAAAATAAAATATGGACAGACCTTGCGTAGGTCACAAAAGAAATCCTAAGGCTCTTAACCCATGTTTGTGAAAGGCAAACTAGCCCACAGATCATGGAGAACTCAGCTGTTAATCCTGGTTGGCAAAAACTGTCAACCTGACACAGCCGATGGAAGGAAAACCTCAGCTGAGGAACTATGTAAATCAGGTTGGGGCTCTCTGTGGGGGAAGAAAGCTACTTGATGGGGCTGGCGGGACACTCAGTGGATAAAAGCACCTAGAGCAGGCCTGACAGCTTAAGTTTGAGGATCCTCCCCAGTAGACACACGGTGGAAGGAGAAAACCTGCTCCCACAAGTTGTCTTCTGAGCTACACACACACCCACACCCACACACCCACACCCACACCCACACACCCACACACACCCATGCACATAAGTAAAAGATTTAAAAGAAAACCTGTTGTTTAAAAAAAAAAAAAGGAATGCTAGCTGAGGCTAAGCCCGCCTGCAAACAACATCCTTCAGTTTTTGCTGTTCTTCATTGGCTGTGAAATGAGTTCCTTAGTCAGAAGTAATGCTGTGGGGACTAGTAAGAGGGCCTGCTGCCAGGTTCCTGCCTTGACTTGTCTCAGTGATGGACAAATAAGCCCTTTCTTCCCTTAAACTGCTTTTGGTCAGAATGTTTTCTCACAGCAACTGGAGGGAAACCAGAGCAGCCACACATACTACAACTCATCAGAAAACAGCACGTACCAGGCAGAACGATGCTCCCAGGCTCCTTTGTGCTCGCTCTGCAGAAACGCTTCCGAGCTGCAGCCAGTTGCTCCCACTCTTCCCAGGTCAGAGATTCGGCCACATCCTTGAAAGTCACAAAGCCCTAGAACAGCACAAGATCTCCATTCAGTCCTTGTTGTCACTGCAAACATTTCCACCAGTCTAAGGGGAAGCCAGTCTCGAGAGAGCTGGTGTGAGTCAAGTGACAGCCACAGATGTTGAGTGACTGGGTACCAAAGGGACCTGTTACTGATAATCTTCATTGTCAACCTGACTGGATTTAGAATCGCCCAAAACTAAGCTTCTAGGCTTACCTGTGCGAGCATTTCCGGACAGGTTTGACTGTGGAGAGAAGGTCAACCCTCGAGAGGCTGATGCACTGGACTGAATGAAGAGAGAGAAGGCGGCAAGGGGAGCACCAGCATTCACCTCCTTCTGACCGATAACTGTGAAGCCAGGTGACCAGCCACACCCTCTGCCACACCTTCCTGACTTCACAGACTGTAGCTCTTCTTAAACCTTGACCCCAAAATAAGCCCTTCCCTCAGGTTGCTCTTGTCACAGCACTGAGAAGAGTTACCACTCTCAGTAGAAGGCCACATTCTCCTACCATCTTGAAAAGACTTCCTGTGGATCATCTGCGACAATTTGGGGAAGGCACAAGCAAAATATTCGAGTTCTATCACTGTGACTTATCAAAATGGAAACATGGGCTGGGATGTGGCGCAGTGCAAGAGCACTGGCCTGGCATGCACCAAGTTGACCTTCGGCCCCAGCACCACAGAAGCCAGGTGTGCCAGCAAACACTTGTAATCCCAGAACTCAGTAGGTGGAGACAGGAGGATAATTTTAGGGTCATCCTCTTCCCTCTGCATAGGGAGTTGTTCTAGGCCAGCCTTGGATACATGAGATCATGTCTCAATTTGCAGGGTGGGGAGAGAAAGAGAAGAGAAGAGACATCCTAGGTGGAGGGTGCTGATGCAGGGGAGTGTACCTGGGAGCTCTAGCTCCCTGGCCCTTTCCTGCATCCCTGCTCTGTTTCCTCACTGCCAGGAAGTGAACATACCTGCTCCAGCATACTCTTCTGCTACGGTGTTCTGCCATGCCCCAGAAACAGTGAATTCAGCCGACCATGGACTCTTCTCAACCACTGAATCCCAGTGGAACTTGTAGGTATCCATCACGGTGACAAACTGACTAAACACACTATGTATACGCGTACATGGCTAACGCGTGTATGCTTATATAGGCTGAGTTCCCTGTACCAAAAACGCCTGTGAGCAAAACTGTTCACAATGTCAGAATACCTCAGTTCAGCCAGGGATGAAATTAGCGCTCCAGCATTTTCCTAGTCTGAGCTCCCAAAATCTGAAGTGCTTGAGTGTCTGTCCCCCACAACTAAAATGTCCATAGTGCTAAGGTGAAAAAACTGCCTCTGAAATGGCTAAATTATGAAACGACATTTTGGGGGGAGGACCTGGAAAACGTTTCAATATTAACTTTTTAGGGGCTGGGTTACCTTTTCAGGATGGATCAGAAGGTAAGAGTGCCTCCTGCTCTCCCAGGAAGACTTACCTGAGTTCAGTTTCCAGCACCCACACTTGGGCAGCTCACAACAGCCCATAATTCCAGTTCCTGGAATCCGATGCCCTTTTATGTGCTCCTTAGGCACTCCCACACATGTGGCACACGTTCACACAAACACACAGTCACATGAACAAAAAATGCAAAAGAAAATGACTTTTCACACTGACAATGATTGTGGATTGTATCTCAAAAGGCACAGGCAAGCTTAGTTTCCATGAGCTAGGCATTGTGGTGTACACCTTGAACTTTGGAGGTGGGGTAAAGTGGATCTCTGTGAGTTCAAGGCCAGTCTGGTCTATACAATGAGTTCAAGTCAGTTAGGGCTACATAGTTGAGACTCTGCCTTAAAAAAAAAATCAAAATATATTTCAAAACCAGTAATAAATGTCAGGAGTATTACTCTATTTTTCCAAGGTGTCCTCTCACGGACTTAACACATTCCGATATATGAACCTATAGGAGCCATTCTCATTCAAATCACCACGGTGTGTGCGCGCGCACACACACACACACACACACACACACACACACACACACACACACACACACACACGTGATTGAAGATGCCCAGAAGATGGCATTAGATCCCCTGAAACTAGTTACAGGTGATGGTGAGCCACCCTACGTGGGTGCTGGGAACTGAACTCATCCTCTGGAAGAGCCCTACACGACCTTAAAGGCTAAACCATCTCCCTGGCGCCACCCAGAGACCACCCGCGTCTCACCTGGGGTGGAGCCCGGTCCAGTGCTCCTTGTAGAGTCCGCGCCAAGGCCGCAGCCTCCTCCCCGCTCTCGGGGCAGTGGTCCCGCACGCAGGCTTGGAGCTCCTGCGGCAGGATGGTGAGGAACTGCTCCAGCACCAGCAGCTCCAGGATCTGCTCTTTGGAGCGCAGCTCCGGCCTCAGCCACCGCCGACAGAGCTCCCAGAGTCGGCTCAGCGCCTCCTCGGGGCCGGCCACTTCCTGGTAGCGCAACTGCCTGAATTGTTTTCGAGAAGTTTCGGGGTTCTGCCAATCCCCGGATCCGGAGGACCTCTGACTCCCAGGTGAGTCCTCCTCCACTTTCACCGTACAAAGCCCGGCACCCGCAGCCATCAGTCTCTGGACCGTCCAGCTCGAACTTGTCTTTTTAGAAGGGAAAAACGGGGCGCACTGCCACCCTCTTCCCAAAACGAGGCCCCGAACAGGCCACTACAGACACTACATACCCCTGATCATGGCCTTTAGTTCTCACTTTAGCTGGTGACAGAAAAACAAACCCAGGCCGGAAATGCGTCATTATCCCACGCGCTGGGGCGAGGCCTTGCCTTTCCAAGGTCTCTCTAGGCACCGTGGAGGACTAAGAAGCACCTTGGTGGTTCGCCTTCCATATTGCACTGGAGCTGCCCGAGGCCTCGTCCTTAAACAAACAAACAAACAAACAAATAAAAAGGGGCGGTGGGGGTGGCAGCCGAGCGAGGAGGTGGTGGTACACGCCTTTAGCACTGGGAGGCAGAGGCAGGCAGATCTATGAGTTCGAGGCCAGCCTGGTCTACAGAGAGAGCTCCAGGACAGCTGGGGCTACCCAGAGAAACCCTGTCTCAACAAAATAAAACAAAACGAAACAAAACAAAACCAAAGAAACAAACAAAAATTAAAAAGTAAAACCGGGGGCGGGGAGGAGGCTACACAGAGAAATTCTATCTATAAATAAATAAACAAACAAAGGGGCCTGGAGAGATGGCTCAGGGGTTATGGGCACTAGATGCTCTTATTGAGTATCTGGGTTCAATTCTCGGCTCCCATAACATGGTGTAGAGACATAATAGTTGCTGCCGGGCAGTAGTGGCAGATGCCTTTAATCCCAGAACTCCAGAGGCAGAGGCAGGTGGATCTTTGTGAATTCGAGGCCAGCTTGGTCTACATCGTGAGTTACAGGACAGCCAGAGCTACATAGTGAGACCCTATCTCACTATGGGGTGGGGGGAGGGGGGATGTGGGCAACATATCTCTAATTCACATTGTGTACAGTGCACACAGAGGCCAGAAGAGGGCATCAAATACCCTAGAACTAGAGTTACTGAAGGTTGCTAGTCATGAAAGTTTTGGGAACCCAGATCATCTGGCGAGAGCAGTAAATGTTCCTAACCATTGAACCATCTCTCCAGCGCCTATAATTTTTATTTCACTCCTCAGCTCCTTAGTGCTGGAGATGGAATTCAGGGATTTCAGAATGACAGTCTCACCACCCCAAGAGACGCCCTCCCTGCCGCCCTACAGCGCTGTGGTCTTTATTCTCTAACTGGGTCTTCAACTATTTGCAGAGGTTGTAATTCCACAGTGGTCTGTTTCAGTGTGCCCCTAAGGAGTGACAACAGGATCTTTGGTACTGCCTGTCCGCGAAGGATTTGGAAAGTGATCAAAACACAAATTATTAAAGAAATTTACGGTTTAGGGTAACAGGATTTAAACAAAACTCCCCTTTTTTGAAATGTGGTTTCTCCCCAGCTGGCAGGCTGCCAGGCTACTGGCATAATCTTACCTTTGCTACATCTGTCGTTATTATTATCACTTTTTTTTTTTTTTTTGGTTTTTCGAGACAAGGTTTCTCCGTGTAGCTTTGCGCCTTTCCTGTATTATCACTTTTTTTTAAAGGCTTGTCAAGTGCAGTCGTGAGACGACAGCAAGTGTGAACAATCAATTGAGAGAACCCCCTACTTCGGAATAGATCCTTTTAATATTAGATTGCCTTTTAATATTAAAAAAATTAATTTCCCTAATGCCTGAGCTGAGGGGTGGGGCGTACACAGCGACTTTGACTTCCATAACATTTGGGTATCTCGAACCCAGGGATCGAACTCATGTCATCAGGCTTGGCAGTAAAATAAATATCAGAGAGCCGTCCAGTCCACCGGGTGCAGCATCTTAATAAGCCCTGGAGACCGAGGTGAGCCGCAGCCATATTGCCTAGACTGTGTTGCTCGCGAGTGGTTTCTTGGGAGATGTAGTCCTTTGAGTCTCTGGCTCTCGACACTAAGGCAGTAACGAATGTCTTTGGGTATGTTTGGAAAAGTGGCGAGGCAGTGATAGAATTCGAAGGGTTGTGAGCTGGCAACAAGGTGCAGACCAACTTAAATTCCTGAGAGTGTGGGGGAGCTGTTCTCGACCAATCAGACGCGAGAGAGTGGGGGCCCGCCCCTAAGACCCGCCCTCTAGCTTTACTAGCAGGGGCGGGGCGGAGCGCTAGCTATGGTTTTTTGGGTGGGAAATAGATACTAGAGATATACTAGATATTCCTCAGGTTCTAGCAACGTCTTGCCTGCGGCTCGCTGATTGGTCAAGTCTGCAAGGGGGCGGGTCCAGACGTAGCTCCTCCCTCCCGCTGCGCTGAGAGGACCTCCGGGATTCCTAGAGAGGCTGCGGAAGCGCTCTTGGGGGTGGGATTTATGGCTGAAGCTAGCACTCGGTTACTTCCGGCGAGGAACTGTTGGAAAGTGTCGGACGCGGTTCTCTCTTGGCTTGTGAGAACTCCATCTTCCAAGCCTGGGCTGCGGGGAGTTTGTTCTTTGGGTCCCCTGGACTTAGGGACTGGAGAAGAGCGAGTAGGGCATTGTGTCCACACTTGAGGTCCTGTCCCTAACCTTGACCCGTCCGGTCTCTGTCTCCGGGTCAGGAGCTATTCCGAGGAATCCAGGTCCAAATTTCTGTCTCCAACTGTGCTTTCTCCTAGAACTAATGAAGTCTTCTGTTTACCTGTCAAGCCCTTACGGCTTGAAAGCTAGGACCAGATATGACCGTTTTAATGGGTTTCACTCCTGTTCTGACTTAAGTTTGGCTTATGATAGAGAGAAGAAACGACTCTGTCTGGAGTAATCTAGTCCGGTTATTTATATAAGATGTGTACTTTTTCATTTCTAAAACGTTGGGCCTGATGTCACTTTTTTATGGCCGTTCTTTGCGTTTTTAAAATCTGGACGTAGTTACTATTAGTAATTTTATGGATGAAATGATGACTGACTTATAGTGAATGACTTTATTGAGTGATTTTCTTTAGTATAGATGACGTCTTTGCCACCTCTCTTGGCTAATGATAATTCCCGACATACCAGGAAGGTTGTTCACTGCAAAAAGTGCCCTTCAGAGAAGAGCAGAGAACGAATTGGGTCAGTGTAACGGGCAACCTCTAGAGACTGAGTTGGAATGATAATGACAGAATCCAGAGCAGTTGTACACTTAGAGCCTCCAGCTGAGACGTCTTCGCAAGAGCAAGCTGACCTTCTCATAGTGAAAGTGGAAGAAGAGGACTGTTCCTGGATGCAGGGATACAACCGGCCAGTGTTTGAGACTTTTTACCAGCGCTTCAAGCACTTCCAGTACCATGAAGCAGCAGGACCTCGGGATGCTCTCAGCCAGCTCCGGGTGCTCTGCTGTGAGTGGCTGAGGCCAGAGCTGCACACCAAGGAACAGATCCTGGAGCTACTGGTGCTGGAGCAGTTCCTCACCATCCTTCCTGAAGAGTTCCAGGCTTGGGTGAGAGAACATCACCCCGAGAATGGAGAAGAAGCCGTGGCTGTGATAGAAAGTATCCAGAGAGAGCTGGAGGAGCACAGGCAACAGGTGAGTGGGGGAGGAGCCAGGGCAGTGAGGAAGCAGCTGTGAGCGCTGAGGAGCTGCCAAGCAGGGCTGAGAGTCTTAGGCCTCGGGTGCTTCAGGCAGTCATATTCTGGTTTTGTTTTGTTTTTTTGGATGGTCTCACTATGTATCCTTGGGTATTCTGGATTTCACTATGTAGACCCGAGGGGACTCGAATTCACAGAGATCCACCTGCTTCTGCCTGCCAAGTGCTGGGATTCAAGGCCTGCACCACCATACCCAACAAGTAATGAGTTTTAAAGAATATTGTTTCTCTTCTTCCTCCTTCTCCCTTTCTTCTTTTTGCAAATTATGCTTGTGTTTCTTAATTGCATTTCTTACCTATTAGAAACAATAGGCATTGTGCCTTTTGTATTGGCGTATGCTTTTTTTCCAGTTTGTAGTCTCGGAATCTTTTGTACCTGGATATGAACCAGTGTAACTCTTATGTCCTGGTTTCTAGGGTTCATACTTTAGAAGGTTCTCTTCGCTGCAGTTTGTGAAAACCTTTCCTCAGTCCTTTTTAAATTCTTTTTTAACAGACTGCTTCGTCTAGAGAGTGTTCTGATATAGTGTCTTTGTTATGGTTCCAGCTATTTTCCCCACAAATCTATCTCATTTCTCCGGAAACTTTTTAAGAAAACTATTTTATGTTTTTAGAATTATTTATTTTATGCGTCTTAGTGTTCTGCCTGCAGGTGTGTATGTGCCCATGGAGCCTAGAAGAGGATGTTACATCCCTTGGAGCTAGGTTTACAGATGGTTGTGAGCCACCACATGAGTGCTGGGGATCGAACCCAGGCCCTCTGCAAGAGCAGCCAGTGCTCTAAACCACTGAGCTATCTCTCTGGTTCTTATTTTTATTTTAATTGTGTGTTTCTGTGTCTGGGTTTGTGCGTGTGAGTGCAGATGCCCTTGGAGGGCATTGAATTCACGAACCCTGGAGTTACGGGTGGTTATGAGCCGCCTGATGTGAGGGCTGGGAACTGAGCTTGGGTCCTCCCAGGAGCAGTATGTGCTATTCCAGTAACCTGTGAGCCATCTCTCCAGCACCATCCTCCCAGCACAGCAACTTTTAAAGGAACCTTTTTCTTATTATAATGCCGTCTTTTGGCACACACCTTTAATCCTAGCACTTGGGAAGCAGAGGTAGGCAGATGAATCTCGATGAGTTTGAGGTCAGCCTGGTCTACAGAGAGAGTTCTAGGCCAGCCAGTATTATAGGGAGAGAGACCGTGACTCAAAAGTAAAAATGCTGTCTTTATCACTTGTTAAAATCTGCCTGTTTGGGGCCTCTGTTTCTGAAGTTTGTATTCTATTTTGATGGTCCTATTTGCTGGTTCTGAGGCTGCTTTGAAATTATTTGAGGTATAAACAGTTTTGGCATTTCCTTCCCTCTGGTTTTTCCTTTCAGTGTATTCTTCTTATGAACTTAGAGCTTGATTTGGTGGGAACTGCCTTTCATCCTAGCACTTGGGAAGCTGAGGCAGGAGGATTCTGAGAAGGAAGGCCTCTGTCTAAAAACAAACAGAACAAAAGCCTGTGGGTTTGGAAGAGTTTGAAGTTTCCTTGAGGGTTCCACTCGTTCCTCAGAGTGTCTGTATCTTAGTGTAAGGTGCTGATCTCATCATTCCCACCCTGAGGATGAGGGGTACTCCAGAGTTCCAGAACATCCTCAGACTCTTGGTCAACTTTAGCTCACCCTGTGACTCAGATAGCAAGTGAGGGATGGCAGGATTTTTAATGCCTTCCACAATTTCTAGGAGTAAGCTGTGCCTTGGAGCAGGGTAATTATATACATCCTAGGTTGAATTGAGGGTTGAGAGCAGGATGGTAAAGGCCGATATCATGCTGGACATGACCTAGCTTAAGTCTTTTTTTGAAGCAGGGAATAGAGACCTTGCTGCAACCCTCCTGGTTCTGTCTGCTGAGTGCTGGAATTACAGGCATGTGGAACATAAGCTTTCTTAAATGCTAGTCTGGCCAGCAGTGGCTTCCTGAGTCCCATAATGACCTTTCCATTCTACCATTTCATCTCTTGCCTTTACCCTTACCCTCCTCCTTCGGGATCCTGGGTTGGATCAAATACCCTATTTTGCCTGAGGGAAGGTTTGGGAACTCTCTCTGTGCCTGGGTTTCTTCTCCCCCTTTGCCTTTGGCCGCCTTCTTTTTAAAAATAATTATTTAAAAAAGTTTTTTTTGTGTGTGTGTATGCACACAAGTGTGCTGGTACCCTCAGAAGCTAGAAGAGGACACTGGATTCCCTGGAGCTGGAGTTACAGATGGTTGTGAGCCACCATATGGGTTCTGGTAACTGAACTTGGGTCCTTTGGAAGAGTAGCCAGTGCTCTTAACCACTGGACCATCTCTCCAGCCCCTTCTTAACATCTTCTAGGTGTTTACAGAGTGACACCCTTCCCTAGCCTCTCAGGCTAAAGTGGGTCTCACCTGTTCTGTCCTGTAGTTGTGTATCTTTCCCTTCTAACATGGAGTTCATAATTGTGTATTTGCATGTGGGTATGTCTCATGGAAGCCATTTCCCAGTAGAAGTAATCCATGTTTGTTAAACTGCTGTTTAATCAGAGTCTGGCTCGTTATAGACACAAGTTCAGTGTTGAGCAAGGGGACCGGTGACAGGCTAATGGACTCTAATGGGTTCTTTCCCATCCCCGTCTATAATTTTGCTGATTGGTTGTAGTTGTGGTTGTTAGATTGTCACATGTCCTGAAGTGCTTCCTCAGAAGATGGTACCATCCGGAGCCACGCAGGAGTCCTTCAGTCACCAGTTTCTGCCTGTGGAGGCCCAGTCTGATCAAGAGCCACAGAATCTTCTGGAGGAGAATGGTAAGGCTCATCCATTCAGTGCAGTCAGTGACTAGCATGGGGGCTCTGGTCACATGGGCAAAAGAGGGCCTGGAGTATGGGCAGACGGACCTCCCTGAGAGAGGGACCGCTTTTTGGATGACTGAGACTATATCACACTTTCACTCAAGATCCATAAACTGGGGATATGGTTCAGTTGGCGGAGTGCTTGCCTAGCGTGCATGAAGCTCTGGGTTCTGTCCCCAGTACTACACAAACCAGGTGTGGAGCACCCCTGTGACCCCAGCACAGGAGGCAAAGGCGGGAGGACCATCAAGGTCATCCTGGCTACAGAGCAGGTTTGAGGCTGGACTGCTTGAGACCTGGTCTCAAAAACAAGTAAAGCAGAACTAAGAAAGCTATAATAGGGACAGTCCATACACAGCTCAGTGGTAGAGTGTATCCTTAGTAAGGGCAAGATTTGGGGTTCCATTCCCAGGACCCCCCTGTGGCAAAAATGATAGTGAAGACTGTCAGGGTAATCTGTGTTGCGTGGATCAGTCAAAGAGGTCACTCCAAGAAGAAATTTTAAGGCCTGTGTGGCAGCAGGAAGGTCCAGCCTCTGGTGAACCGAACCCCAAACAGCCATACAAAGGCACATTCATTGATTGTTACACCAAGTTGTTTTTTGGGTGAAGTGTTTCCTCATACCAAGGACCCTAACCTAATCTCCATGTCTCTCTGAAGGAAAGCATCACACGCCCTCATGACTTTAGTCTTTTACTGTGTATCGTTTGCAATACACAATAATCCAAGAGCCTCGGGTGTGCCCGAGGTGTCCTGTGACCGAAGTCATGTGAAGACTGCAACACCCTTTCAGAAAAACAATTCTACACATCACAGAAAACAATCACTGTTTTCCACAAAGATTCTTTATTGTTTTCCACAATGATTCTTCAAGGCCAATGTACTTCCAGAAAACAACTATTCACTCTAATGTTTGCCCTGGATACAATGAAAACTATTTACTCTGTTTACCCTAGATACAGTGAAAACTAATTCTTCTAATGTCTCCCTCAGATACAGTGACTGCTAAATTCTTACAACAGAAGACAATGTCTCTAAGTATAGGGACTATTTGGAGAGTTTTAGAAGATTTTTTTAACATTTATTTTTATTTTATATGTATGAGTGTTTTCGTTTTGCATGTATATGTGCACCATGTGCATGCATTACCTGCAGAGTCCAGAAGAGGCATTGGTTCCCCTGGAACTAGAATTACAGGTGATTAGACAGGGGAGGCGCACGCCTTTATCACAGCACTTGGGAGGCAGAGGCAGGTGGATCTGAGTTGAAGGCCAGCCTGATGTACGGAATGAGTTCTGGGACAACCAGGGCTATAGAGAAAAATGAAAAAAACTGTCTTTCTCCACAGAGAAACCATCTTGAAAAAAAAAATTGTAAGTGATTGTGAGCTGCCTGATGTGGGTGCTGGAAACTGAACTCTGGTCGTCTGCAACAGCCGTATGTGCTTTTAACCACTGAGCCATCTCTCTAGCCCCACACCTTGTTTATTTTGAGATATGGTCCCATGCAGCCCAGCTGGCCTCAAACTCACTGTTAACTGGTGATGGTTTGAATTCTTCATCCTCCTGTGTCTACCTCTAAGAGTGTTGAGATTACAGGCGTGCATCACCATGTCTGGTTCTCTGATGCTAGGGATGGAACCCAAGGGCCCAATACACATTAGGCAAGCATTCTACCAGCTGAGCTACATCCCCAGCCTCCCAGTCCCCCTACAAGTACCCCTACTTTTTAAGACATTTTAGTAAAAATCAAACCTCTTTGTATGCAGTACATTTTGACATGCAAATATCATAACAGATTAAAAAATACTATCATATAATACTGTCCTTTTGGAACAATGGGATGGTCCTAGATCTTGTTGGGAAACATCACTTGGGAAAGATCTTTGTGCCAAATGATTCAGTACTGACTGAGAATGCCATAGTTCTTTTAATATAGTTAGGTCTGTCATATCAATACCCCACTCCTGGTACTGATTGCTTGTTTTAATTAGTTTTCATTTGCTGTGATAAAGCATGTCTTAGGGTTTCTGTTACTGTGACAAAATATCATGACCAAAAAGCAAGTTGAGGAGGAAAGGTTTATTTGGCTTACACTTCAGCATTGCTGTTCTTCACTGAAGGAAGTCAGGACAGGAACTCAAACAGGGCAGGATCCTGGAAGTAGGAGCTGATACAGGAACCCACCTTCTTACAGAACCCAGGACCAGCAGCCCAGGGATGGCACCACCCACCATGGGTCAGGCTCTCCTCCATTGCTCACTAAATGAGAAAGTGCCTTACAGCTGGATCTCAAGGAGACCTTACCTCAACTGAGCCTCTGATGACTCTAGCTTGTGTCAAGTTGACACACCAAACCCCCCAGCACAAAACATCACAACCAAAAGCAACTTGGTGAGGAAAGGGTTTATTTCATCTTAGAACTTGTAGTCCATCACCCAGAGCAGTCAGGCCAGGAACTCAAGGGAGGAACCTGGAAGCAAGAACTGCTGCAGAGGCCATGGAGGAGTGCTGTTTACTGGCTTACTCCTTACAGCTTGCTCAGCTTGCTTTATAGTACCTAGGACCACCAGGCCAAAGGTGGTACTACACACAGTGACCTGGACCCTCTTGTTTTGATCCTCAATCAAGAAAATGCCCTAGAGACTTGCTTATGGAGGCATTTTCTCCACCAAGAGTCCCTCCTCCAGATGACCCCAGCTTTGTCACATTGACAGAACACTATCCAGTGCACTTCCGTTCTTACTACTGTAGTTCATTTGTGGCCGTGCTGGGAAGAGTGAATGAACAATGCTTAGAAACAATTAAGTAACTCTGAAGATGAGGAAACAGATTTCTAGCAGTGTGCATGTGGATATTTGTCAACCTGTGGCTGAGACCAAGCATAGACATTATTACATGCAATGAGTGTCATTCTAGTTGTAAAACAAAAATTTCTTTTTTGTTCTTTAGGAAGCCTCAATATAAATATTGCAAACCCCCACCCCTCCTTTGAGACAGGGTCTCATGTAGCTCTGGCTGTCCTGGAATTCACTATGTGAACCATGCTGGCCTTGTACTCACAGAGGTCTTCTTGACTGCCTCTGTCTTTTGAGTACTGTTATTAAAGTATGTGCACTACCTCTCTTGGCTTTAATCCTATTCTTAAAATAATTTTAAGTTGGTCAATAAGAAAAACTCAAAAACTAGGGGCTGGAGAGATGGCTCAGAGGTTAAGAACACTGGCTGCTCTTCCAGAGGTCCTGAGTTCAATTCCCAGCAACCACATGGTGGCTCACAACCATCTAGAATGAGATCTGGCGCCCTCTTCTGGCATGCAGGCATACATGCAGACAGAACACTGTATACATGATAAATAAAATAAATCTTGAAAAAAAAGAAAAAAAAGAAATGGTAAAAAAAAAAAAAAAAAGAAAAACTCAAAAACTAAATTGTGTTCATTAGACCTTGTTAATAGACCAGTCCATACTGCTGGGCACAGTGGCACATGCCTGTGGTACCAGCTACTTGGGAAGCTGAGGCAGGAGGACTTGATTAGCCTGGGAGTTTGAGTGAGACAGAATCTGTCCTGTACTGAGATCTGAAGGTAACTTGTTAGCACATTAAAAACCTGTGAAACTCTGAGCCTTGGGAAATACCAATTTGCCCTAAGCATAGTTGAATGCATCTGTTACTGAGGTGTGGCCCAGCAGGGATTAGCTTGACCAAAGCAGAGAGACTGAGAAATTTTGTTTTTAGACAGGGTCTCACTAAGTGTCCCTGCCTGGCCTTGAACTCATAGAAGTCCACTGGCCTCTGCCTCTTGAGCACTAGGATTAAAGCCTGTACCCACATGCCCAGCTAGCCTGGCGTTTGGGGGGAAGAGGGGATAAGGTAGAGGGAGGACGGGTCCAGAGTGTGCAGGGTCCTAAGAGCCATGGTGAATTTAACTTCAGTGCCTCAGGGCTCCGTGGGCAAAGGAGGAACATGATGGCACTGGGAACCTCACCAGATAGTCTCATTTATACCTTTTCTCCATTCTCAGCCCTTCCTGTTCTCCAGGTTCCTTCCGTTGCCCCGAAGGACAGCCAGGAGCTGACAGCCTCACTCCTCTCAGCCGGGTCCCAGGTGAGAACCCGTGCCCCTTCTCGGCCTCCATTCCCCACCCGTCCTAGTTTTGTTTCTGGTTACTGTGACAGATGCCCTGATAAACACAGCCTGTGGAAGAGAGGGTTTGTTTTAGCTCACTTTCCAGGTCACAGTGGTGAGCAGGTTAGAGCGGCAGGAACCTGAGACAGCTGGTCACATCATATCCACAGTCCAGAGCGGAGAAAAAGAAATGCATGCCCATTCAGCTAGCCCTCTCAACTCTTACACACCCACAGTAGGCTGATCTTCCCACAACTATTCCTTAATTAAGAAAAGATTCTTCAGAGGCCTGTCCACAGGCCAACTTGTTCTAGACACCCCCTCATCGAGGCTCATTTCCCCTGTGATTCTAGGTTGTGACACCATCTTTACCAGGCACTTAACTAACTTCCAGGCCCATCCCTGGTGGCTGCCTTCCATTCATTCCCTCTGTCTTTTTCCTTTCTGCGTCATGCTTCCCGTTTGGATGCGCGGTCTCCCGGCTGCTGACTTAGTGCCCCCAGGTTCTGCCCTTTACTGCAGATCTGCACACAGGGAGTGGGAATTTAGCAGAGATCTCCCATTTCAGAAGTTGGTGAAAATTGAAGATGTGGCTGATGTGGCTGTGTCCTTCATCCTGGAGGAATGGGGACATTTGGACCAGTCCCAGAAGTCTCTTAGTAGGGATGGCAGAAAGGACAATTGTGAGAGTATCACTCCTGTGGGTAAGAACTGTCAACCTGCATGCGGAGGACTCACCAGTTTTGTTACCTTGTGAAGAGTCTGTGTAGCATGTCCTTTCACATGCATGCTTTAACTGCTATGCTTATTTTTATAATCTTTCATAGTTCTTTATTTTGTTTTATATGTATGAGTGTTTTGCCTTCATGTGTGTGCATCATATGTGTGCCTGGTGCCCACAGAGGCCAGAAGAAGGTGTTGAATCCTCTGGAATTGGAGTTGGTTGTGAGCCACAGAGTGCTGGGAATCACATCTGGATCCTCTGCCAGAGTGGCCAGTGCTCTTAACTGCTGAGCATCACTCTAGTCCCCTTTACTTTATAATCTTTGAAAGTAAATCAACCTTTTCTGCATATTATTTCTAACTTAACAAGGGTGTGGCTGAAGGACTATTAGTACAAGGGAGGTAGTTTTTTAATTTTTTATTAATTGTTATTAACTTGTTTAGTGTTGTGTATATGTATGATGTGTTTGTGTGCCATGGTATGGAGGTCAAAGGACAACTTTTTTTCTTCTGAGACAGGATCTCACTCTGTAGCCCTGGTTGGCCTGGACTTGCTATGTAGACCAGGCTAGCCTCAAACTCACAGAGATCCGTCTGTTTCTGCCTCCCAAAAGCTGTAATCAAAGGTGTGCACTATCATGCCTGCAAAGGACAGCTTTGTGGAATCAGTTCTGTTATCCACCCTTATGTTGGTTACAGGGATCAAACAGGCCGCCAGGCCTGCAAGGCAAGTGGCTTTACGGATGAGCTACGTTACCAGCCCTGTGTGTATTTTCAGATTATTTTACTTTATGTCTGTGAGTGTTTTGCCTCTATGTATGTGTGTGCACCATGTGCATGCTGGGTGCCAGAGGAGGCCAGAAGAGGGTATCAGATCTCCTTTAGTAGTGAGCCACTGGACATGGGGGCCAGGAACCGAACTCCAGTCCTTTGTAAGAGCAGTAATGGTTTTAATCACCAAGCCATTTCTCCTGTCCAGCCCAAGTTGGGTAATTCTTAGTAGAATAGTCGTTATTCACAAAAACTCCTGTGTTCATTACTTTTCTCGATTCTGTAACAAAATCCCTGACAAGCAACACCCTAAGGGCAGAAATGGTGATTTGGGCTCACAGTTTAAGGGTACAGCTTATCCTGGTGAGGAAGGCCTGGTAGCAGATGTTTGAGGCAGCTGGTCACATTGCATCCACAGTGAGGAAGCAAAGGGGCTGAGTTCTGATATTCTGCTTTCTGTACAGGCCAAAGCCCCTGGGATGGTGCCACTCCCGTTTAAGGCTGCTCTTCCCTCCTTTGTTAACCCTTCTGGAAGTACCCTCAAACTTCCAGATACTTGTTTCCTAGGTGATGCCAAATCCAGTCCATTGACGATGAAGATTAGCCGTGAGAACATATGAGATGTCACTGAATATTTCTTTAGTAGAGTGGTGATTACTGTATCTCAGTGGCATTAATTCTTTGTTGCCTTTTTACACATTTTCCATTCCCATTCTCATATCACCAATCCACTCCCTTTTTTGTTTTGTTTGTTTCTTTGGTTTCTTTGTGTAGTTCTGGCTGTCCTGGAACTCACACTGTAGACCAGGCTGGCCTTGAACTCACAGAGATCTGCCTGCCTCTGCCTCCTGAGTGCTGGGAGTAAAGGTGTGCACCACCACCACCCTGATCAATCTGCCCTCTTTTTACATTTACTTATTTGTTGGTGGTTGATCTGGTTGAAGGGAAGGATCAGACCAGGGGCTGAGGAAAGTTTGGGATCAGGAAGTCCTGCACAAGCTGACGGCTCATGCAGGTTTATTAAGAGGCATAGCGTCTTATGTACAGCTTGCCGGAGGAGAAATGGGACAAGGTCAGCAAAAGCTATCACACCATGGGACAGAGTCAGCAGGAAGCTAACCCAGCAGTGTTGCACAAAGGGGACAGAGGACACCTCGATTGCATTATAGACCTGCTGCTCAACAGCCTTGGGACCGATAACCACAGCCCTTCAAGGGGGGAAAGTTGAATTCTCAGGATCCACAAAACTGCAGCTCCCCACAAGGCCTGACCCCAGGCCATTACTGGCTTTGACAAACAAGTTCCTGATTTTATACAAGGAACTAATCCTTCTCCATACGTCAGGGCCTCAGGAAATGTCCTCAGGGAATGTCCCCTGGACTGGCCTAGCCCTTAACAAGGAACCAGGTATGTGTGTCACAGTACACATATAAAAGTCAGAAGACAGTTTGTAGGAGTCGGTTCTCTCCTTCCACCATGTGGGTTCCAGGATTCCTCATGTCCCCAGGCATGGGACGGGAGAGTACCTTTGTCCTGCTGAGCCATCTCACCAACCCCTGTATTTTGCTTGGCTCAATTTATTTGTGCATGTCTTCTGTTCATCAGTCTGTTGGGATCTTAGAGGTAGTCTTTTAATTAATCATTTTTTATTTTATGTGCATTGGTGTTTTGCCATGTATGTCTGTCAGCGTGAGATGTCAGATCTTAGAGTTACAGATGGTTGTTAGCTGACATGTGGGTGCTGGGAATTGAACCCAGGTCCTCTGGAAGAGCAGTGCTCTTAACCTCTGCGCCATCTCTCCAGCCCCCATAGAGGTAGCCTTTTATCTCAATAAATTGTTTATATGTTAAATACATTATATTTTGGACTAGGAAGATGACTTAGTGGCTAAGAGTACTTGCACGCTTCTAATGGACCTGAGTTGGGTTCCCAGCACCCAGCCTGCAACTCCAGTTTCAGGGGATCTGGTGTAGTTTTCTGGACTCCAAAGCCACCAGCATACACATGTCATACACAGATATACATAAGTAAAAAAAAAAATTAGTATTATATTTAATTAAAATATTTTCTTTTAAATTAATACAGATCACTTGTGTAATTTAAGTCTATTAGTGCTACCTATGTATTTCAGTTAATATAGAGGTACTTACCAGTTATCAGAGATGTGTGTGTATGTGTGTGTGTGTGTAATATGTGTAAGGATTCTATATATGTGCAGCTTGGGGGGTGCGTGTGTGTGTGTGTGTGTGTGTGTGTGTGTGTGTGTATGTATGTAATATGTGTAATGTGTAAGGATTCTATATATGTGCAGCTTGGGGTGTGTGTGTGTGTGTGTGTGTGTGTGTGTGTGTGTCTTGTCTGGCACCTTATTACATCATCAGCGAGCAACTGCGTTCCAGCTTAAAAGCTGACATGCACCCCCACGCTCTCTGTCTGCGTCTCTCTCAGTCCCTCTCTCTCTCTCTGCGCCCATCTATCTGTGTTTCCCCTCCGCCAGGTCTGGCTCTCTCTCTCTCTCTCCTTCTAATAAAGCTCTAAAAGGTACCACTGGGTGCTGTCGTGACTATGACCTTTCCACACGGTGACCAGCGCCAGCCACCAGCACCATATATCTTTTCAATATGTGTGTGCCGCAACCTGAGTCTCTCTCTCTCTCTCTTTTTTTTTTTTTTTTGTGGTACTGCAGGTTGAACCCCGACCTCTTGCATTATACTAATCTGCATGTGCTATTGTACACTGAGTTACATCCCCAGCCTCCTCCCTACCTTTTTTCTTTTCTTTTCTTTCTTTTTTTTTTTTAAAGATTTATTTATTATGTACACAGTGTCCTGTCTGCATGCCCGAGAGGGCACCAGATCTCATTACAGATGGTTGTGAGCCACCATGTGGTTGCCGGGAATTGAACTCAGGACCTGTGGAAGAGCAGCCAGTGCTCTTAACCACTGAGCCATCTCTCCAGCTCCCACCTTTTTTTTCTTTTGAGACATGGACTCTGTAAATCCCTGGGTAGCCTAAAAATTGGTATGTAGACTAGGCTAGCCTCAAACTGTCAGAGATCCTGACTCTGTCTCCAGAGTGCTGGGATTAAAGGCTGCACCACCACTGCCTGGCCTCTTTTTACTTTCTATGTTGAGAAAGGATATTAGGAAGTTAGTTGTCCAGGCAAGTCTTGAATTCACTGTTCAGACTGACCTGGACTTTTGATCCTTCTGTTTTAGTCTCTCAAGTAGCAGGAATTACAGGCATGTGCCTGTTAGAATTCCTAGCCACTCCCCCATGACCGCTGGCATGATGCTTAGTCATCCCAGGGCATTACGTACGTAATCCATGCACTGCGTGTTACGTAAGCCCATATGCGCATGTGCTGGGGAGGGGGTGTGTGTCTATAAAAGCAGGTTCCACATATCCCTCCTCCTCTTCCTGCATGATCTTTCCATAGGCCTAAGCACCCCCTTCTATTTCCTTTCCTTAATAGACTCTTATAGTGGGTTTTGTTGTACCTTGTGGCTTTTCTTGCACCGTAAACAACGCCACTTAATAAATAACATTGCACCACTTAATAAATAACAGTGCCACCAGGCCTGGCTGCCTCGCTGTCATTCTGCACCTTCACAGCTTCACTCTGTCCGCCACATTGAGACCAGGGGTCTCTGCCCCTTAGCTTCTCTCCTTTAGAAGGCCACATTTTATCATTTTCATACTTGCAGATTTCTGATAGCTTCATAGAAGGCCAGAAGTTAAAACAAATATTTATCACATTTGAAAGTAAATGTTTACAAAAGTAAGTACATAAAGGGAGACTATTCTGTACTATTCCATTGGTAGAGTGCTTAGAGTGCTCAGAGGCCTGGGAGCCACCCCAGCACTGCATAAACAAGACGTGGTGTCTCACACCTGCCATCCTAACACTCTCCTCTCTCCGCCCCCCTCCTTTCCCTTTCTGTCATCAGGGTCTCATGTAGCTCAGGCTGGCCTTGAACTTCTGATCCTCCTGCCTCTACTTCCAGGTGTAGGGATTACAGGTATGCCCTCCCACAACTGGAGGCAGAACCCAGGGCTTTCTGTAGCTTTACAAGCACTATACCAACTGAGCTTCATGCCCACTGAAAGGTTTACAACATGCCCCCACGGTCGGGCGTGTTCGCATATGCCCAACAGACACTTCCACCTAGCCAGTTCCAGGTCAGGATAGCCATTTCCGGGTCAGGACATCTCGCGTGACCAAGATCCGTGACGTTCCATTGGCTACGTAGGCGCGCAACGTGGCCATGTGATCTACGCGCTTGCGTGTAGTAGTGACGCTGATCTGTCCACGCCCAGCCTTTAAAATCCGGCGCCATGTTCCCGGTTCCTTCTTCTTCTTCTTCTTCCTCCTTCTTCTCCACACACGTGTTTCCTGCAGGCCTGTTCACTCTCTGTCCCTTTACCTTTAATAAAACTCTTGTTAGCGGATTCTGTCGTGTTTCGTGGCATTTCCTTGCAGGGTAAGAACACAACGCAGCCGAAAAACTAACATTTTGGTGCCGTGACTCGGATCCCTGACTCTTCCTTTTTTAAAAAAGAAAAAAATTGTGGTTGTCTGGGTATGGGGGCGATGTTTCTCTCAAAGACTGCTTCCAGCTGAATAGTGGGCGTTGGTTGACTCTTGGGGGGCAGGGGGATGAGAGGGTATCTTGTGAAGTCCTGGGATGTTGGTGGGCAGGTCCTGGAATGAAGTTCTGCCGTCCCCTCGTTCTGCGGCTGTCCATCCGTGCTGTGGCTGGGAACCTTCCATGCTGTGGCTAGGAACCTTCTGTTTGACAAGATACTGTTGACATAGAAAAGGCTTAGAGAGAAAGAATCACTATTATTTTATTTTGGAGTTGGCATTTGTCTGAGGTAGATCTGGCCTGTCCAGATAGAGACATGCGATATTTACCTGAGGTAGTACTTAGTACAATGGCCTTCTCTCCCACACTTGAAGCAGGGACCAGATGGCTTTCGGGGAGCCGGTCGGACAGTGCTTGCCAGTGTCCAGAGTACTTAGTACTCTGCTTAATTTCTATCTGAGACAAGCCTTATTAGAGGTAGTTTATTTAAGGCACCGGTTTCCCTTATTAGGTTAGCATTTAGGAAACGCAGGTGATCAGTTGCTGAGTATCGAACAATGATAGATTATTGTATTACATTATTCCTTACCGCCTGGATATTTTTGATGGTCCTTTTTGCCTCCGGCTCTGTGTGTCTACCTGAGAGACTGTGTCTACCTGAGAGACTGGTAGGGGAAAGGAATTGTTAGAGTCAGAAGAGTGAGTGGCTAGGAGGAGAAGTAAAGGAGCTGCTGGCATGTCTGGGATGAGGCGAATGTGTGGAGCGAAAGAAATGGACGCTCCTACCTTAGCTAGAAGATCCCTCCCCATTAAAGGTACAGGGCAGCTTGGCACCACTAAGAATGTGTGTGTGAGAGGGATGCCTCTGAAAATGCAATTGAGTGGTGGTGTCTGATGAGGTAGATAAGGCTGTCCCCAACCCCGACAATAGGGAGACGAGCAGGAGAGGTGGGCCTCCAAAACTCTCTCAGGACAGAGTAGGTAGCTCCGGTGTCCAAAAGGAACGAGATGGGGCCGCCCATTGACCTTTATAATTACCCTAGGTTCCCTGTGTGAGATGGGAGTGGCCGGGGCAGAAACCAGGCAGCAGCAGTCCTCGCTGTAAGCCAAGCCTACAAAGTCAGCTGGAGGGTGGCCTTCATCTGGCGTTCCTATGTCGCTTGGGACATTAGGACAGTCAGCTGACCAGTGACCCTTTTGGCAACACTTTGGACAAGGCTTTGTCGGTGCCCTTCATGGGCCGGTGGTGCAAGCCTGGGCCCAATGGCCTTCTCTCCCACACTTGAAGCAGGGACCAGATGGCTTTCGGGGAGCCGGTCGGACAGTGCTTGCCAGCATCTGGCAGCTCCTTTTATGGGCTTTTTCATCTCTACCATGGAACACCTTAAACGCTATCACAGGCACATCTGCCTGTGGAGTTAGAGGGCCGTTCTCCAAACGTTTAAGTTTATCCCTAATGTCAGGGAAGCTCTGTGAGACAAAGTGGGTCATTAGCAGCTGCCTGCCCTCAGGGCTCTCTGGGTCTAAGCTAGTGAACTGAAGTAGAGCCTTGGTGAGCCACTCTAGGAAATGAGATGGATTTTCATCCTTATCTTGAATAACCATTTTTAGTTTTTCATAGTTTACTGGTTTTAGGGCAGCCTTACAGAGACCTGTCAGGAGACAGGTAATAAACCTATCTCTGGCTAGACAGCCACCCTGGGTGTTATAATCCCAGTGTGGCTCTCGGTCAGGAACCGCCTCAGTTCCTGGAGGATGTGAGAGGTTAGTTTGATGAATTTCGTCTGCGTGAATCCTAGCCTGCTCCCAAACCCGCCTGCGCTCCTCAGGAAGTAAGTTATTAGAAAGTATCATGAATATATCATGAAAGGTGAGACTATAAGATTGAGTTATATATTGAAACTGTTTAATAAAGGCAGCAGAATTAGAAGTATAAGAACCCAGCTTACTTTCTATCTGAGAGAGTTCTGCTAGAGAGAATGGAACATGAACTTTAATCAGTCCATCCACACCAGCCACCTCTCGCAAAGGGAGAACAGTGGAAGGTTTTGGATGGCTGGAATCTGGCAATTTAGCAGCCCAAGAGCGGGTGGTAGGAGGAGTGAAGTTTGGAGCTAGGGCAGGGCCTTTGGAACCGGCCGCTGCCGAGGAAGGAGCAGCTTTAGAAGAAGAAGAATCCGGAAGGGGAGCGGAAGGAACGGTTTTTCTAGGAGTTGGAGCTGGAGGTTGAATAGGTGGAGGTTCGTTAGCAGGATCTAGAGTCAGAGATTCCGGAGTCAGAGAATCCTCCGGTTCAGGCATAGCCAGGAGCATATGAGCAGGAGAGAAGGAATCCAGAAGAGACGGTTTAGCACTGAGAAAGAAAAATGCTATAACGTAGGGCAACTCTTGCCATCTGCCTGAGCGCTGACAGTAATTAGATAACTCCCGTAAAATATCGGGATCTAAGGAGCCGCTCGGCGGCCATTTTTTGTTGTTTTCTAAAGCATACTTTGGCCATTTTTTAGAACATAGATGAGTTATCTTAGGAATCTTTATGTAAGGCATTAAACTGAGAGGTTTTAAAGCTTCAACAAGACAGCCTAACGGAGAGGAAGGACTAACAGGGTTGGAAGCCTTGTTTCCCATGTCTGCAGCGGAGAGGCAGAAAAATAAAAAAGATAAAAAAACAAACTTGATCCGGAGCCAAGGCCCCAGGCGTCCCCAAGGCCAAGGACGGATCCCGGGCACAAGCCGCTCCTTGGCTCGTCAGCCACAGAAGCGGGGGCCCCTGCCACGTGAGGAAAGGATTCCCCGGGAATCCGGACAGCGTCTGCCGCTTCGTCAAGTCGGATGAACGTGTCGGCCCCACGTGGCCCCCAGGACGCATCCAACGGTGGTGGTCCCAACGCGAGAAATATCTCAGGCTGCAGACGTGGGAGAGGGCTAGAAATCTGAGGCCTGCGATAGGGGCCGACCGTAGCCAATGAAGACCGTGGCCGGGGGTTCCCCCGGTCTCAAGAATACTTGTGAGGTACCGGTTGTTCTCACAGATTCAGGAAACCGTTTACACTGGCCGAAAAATGGGGGGGGGGGACGACTCACCAATCGGAGAAAGCGGTGTTGCATGGAATTTTTGCGGTCAGGCAAAATGGAGAGCGGTCTGTCGCGTACGGAGCAGAGTGTTGCAGTCTCCGGTTTACGGGTTTCCAGGCGCAGGGCGCCCGGAAGCGCCCGCTCGGTTTCGGCACCAAAATGTTAGTTTTTCGGCTGCGTTGTGTTCTTACCCTGCAAGGAAATGCCACGAAACACGACAGAATCCGCTAACAAGAGTTTTATTAAAGGTAAAGGGACAGAGAGTGAACAGGCCTGCGGGAAACACGTGTGTGAAGAAGAAGGAGGAAGAAGAAGAAGGAGGAACCGGGAACATGGCGCCGGATTTTAAAGGCTGGGCGTGGACAGATCAGCGTCACTACTACACGCAAGCGCGTAGATCACATGGCCACGTTGCGCGCTTACGTGGCCAGTGGGACGTCATGGATCTTGGTCACGCGAGATGCCCTGACCCGGAAATGGCTATCTGGACCTGGACCTAGCTAGGCGGAAGTATCCGCCAGGCATAGGCAGACACGCCTGACCGTGGGGGCTTGTTGTAAACCTTTCACCCACCCTTCTGCATCAACGTTCATCCTATCCCTGTATTGTCATTTCCCAAAGCCATGGTTCCTAACATAGGCTTGTTTCCCTCCTTTATCCTGGCTCCCCCTGTCACTTTCCTGCAGTGTGTGCACTAGCTGACTGCCTGTTTCCTTCTCTCGTTCAGATTGTGAGTCGAGGGAAGGCAGCCCAGAGCTCGTGGTGCGGCAGGTTTCGGAGGGCACTGACTCACACTGGGTGGCAGCGGAAAGCACAGGAAGGAGTTGTGCTCCGAGTCAAGAGTTGGCAGAAGTTAGCGACCCGAAGGACATGGCGCAGAGGTGGCCGGTGAACCCCACCGTGGCGAAGTCAAGGCAGAAAAGAGCTCTGAACTCCGGCCCAGACGTCAGCCGTAAGCAGAAATCGAATGGTGAGCGAGGTCACAGATGCGCTGACTGCGGGAAGTTTTTCCTCCAAGCCTCAAACTTCATTCAGCATCGGAGAATCCACACAGGAGAGAAACCATTCAAGTGTGGGGAATGTGGGAAAAGCTACAATCAGCGGGTGCACCTCACTCAGCACCAGAGAGTCCACACTGGCGAGAAGCCCTACAAGTGTCAGGTGTGTGGGAAAGCGTTCCGAGTGAGCTCCCACCTGGTGCAGCACCACAGCGTCCACAGTGGGGAGAGGCCCTATGGGTGTAACGAGTGCGGGAAGAGCTTCGGTCGCCACTCTCACCTGATCGAGCACCTGAAACGCCACTTCAGAGAGAAATCCCAAAGCTGTACGTCTGGGGAGCATGTGTTCGGGGAGTGGCTAGAAACAAACGTTGATTTATTAGCTTAGTAGGAAAGAACAGATGGGCTGGGCAGGGTGGCTTACACCTTTAATTCTAGCACTCAGGAAGCAGGGGCAGGAGGATGGATAGGAGTTCAAAACTAGTCTGGTCTACTTAGTTCTAGGCTAGCCAGAGCTACATAGTGAGACTTTGTCTCAAACAATAACTAACAAACAAAAACAAAGTATCCCCCCCCCCAAATAGATAAGTTGTGGTAATAGCCAAAGATTATAGCTTATTTTAGTCTTAATTTAAGCTTAAGAATTTTTTGAATGTGTATTTATTTATTTATTTATTTGGTTTTTCGAGACAGGGTTTCTCTGTGTAGCTTTGCTCCTTTCCTGGAACTCACTCTGTAGCCCAGGCTGGCCTCGAACTCACAGAGATCCACCTGGCTCTGCCTCCCAAATGCTGGGATTAAAGGCGTGTGCCACCACCGCCCAGCTAGTGTATTTATTTTTCTTTCTCTTTTGAGATAGCATCTCATGTAGCCCAGGCTAGCCTTGGACTCTATGTAGCCAGATATGACACTGAATTTCTGATTCTCCTGCTTCCACCCGAACACAAGGATTGCTGTATAGCCCAGGCTGGTCTCCAGTTTGCAACCCTCTTGTCTCATCCTCCCAACTGCTGGACTATAGGAGTGAGTCAATACTCCTAGCTCCTCACACCCCATCTCTCAGTTCATTCTATATAACCCAGGCTGGCCTGGAACTTACGTAGTATGGCTAGCTTCAAACCCAATATCCTCCTGCTTCAGCTCCGCAGCTGTTGGAATTATAGGCAGGTGCCACTATCCCTGGCCTAGTAAGTCTCTCCCTCTCTCTTTCTTTTTATTTTATGTGCATTGGTGTTTTGTCTGCATGTACGTCTGTGTGAGAGTGTCAGATCTTGGAGTTACAGACAGTTGTGAGTTGCCATGTGGGTGCTGGGAATTGAACCGGGTCCTCTGGAAGAACAGTCAGTGCTCTTAACTGCTAAGCCGTCTCCCCAGGCCTGTTTTGTTGTATTTTGTCTCATTCTTTTCATTGGCTCAATACCAATGTTATTCTCATTGCTGTTGGCATTAGGTAGATACATATGTTCCCTTTTTTTTTTTTTTTTTTTAAATTTTCTGGAGCTGAGGACCGAACCCAGGGCCTTGTGCTTGCTAGGCAAGCACTCTACCACTGAGCTAAATCCCCAACCCCCATATGTTCCCTTTTATGCCACATTTTTTTTTGACAGTTTATTCTTTTTCTGTAAAAGAACTGATGAGCTTTGTGTTTGCTTTTTACTTTTTTAGGCAATGACAAAAGAAGTAAGAACACTAAACTGAGTGTTAAGAAAATTCCAGAATTTTCAGAAGCAGACATAGAACTATCAGAAGAAATTCAAAGTAATGCTCAGGTTCAAGGGTATAGTGAAGGCTATGATCACCAAGATAGGGCAGGTAAACAGCAGGGAATTGTCATGAAAGAAATCCTAGGACAACCCTCTTCAAAGAGGATGAATTGCAGCGAATTCAGCTATGTCCACAAAAAGTCTTCAGGAGAGAGGCCACATAAATGTAATGAATGTGGGAAAAGCTTCATTCAGAGTGCACACCTCATTCAGCATCGACGGATCCATACTGGGGAGAAACCATTTAGGTGTGAGGAATGTGGGAAGAGCTACAATCAGCGTGTCCACCTTACTCAACATCATCGAGTTCACACGGGTGAAAAACCCTACACTTGTCCTTTATGTGGGAAAGCCTTCCGAGTGAGGTCCCATCTCGTTCAGCACCAGAGTGTGCACAGCAGGGAGAGACCCTTCAAATGTAATGAGTGTGGGAAGGGATTTGGGAGACGGTCACATCTCGCTGGTCACCTCCGACTCCACTCTAGAGAAAAGTCCCACCAGTGCCGTGAGTGTGGAGAAATCTTCTTCCAGTATGTCAGCCTCCTTGAACACCAAGTGCTCCACGCAGGCCAGAAAAGCGAGAAGAACAGTGTCTGTGAAGAAGCCTATAGCTGGAACTTGACAGTAATAGAGGAGAAGAAGCTGGAGTTACAGGAGCAGCCTTACCAGTGTGATACCTGCGGGAAAGCCTTCAGTTACAGTTCTGACCTTATTCAGCATTACAGAACTCACACTGCAGAGAAACCCCAGAAATGTGATGCATGCAGAGACAGTGCCGGCCAATGTCCCCACATAAAACAACATCAGAAAATCTGCCCCAGTGGGAAGTCCCATCAGTGCAATGAATGTGGAAGGGGCTTCAATCTGAAGTCTCATCTCAATCAACACCAGAGAATTCACACTGGCGAGAAGCCCTTCCAATGCAAAGAATGTGGAATGAGTTTCAGTTGGAGCTGTAGCCTCTTTAAACATCTACGAAGTCATGAGAGGACGGATTCCCAAACACCTGAAGCATAAAGGAATGTTTCTGTTGGGAGATAACCTTTTATTGGCACTCATCACTGTAATGACAACAAGAATTTTTCCCATCTTAACCATCAAACCTACAGGCGAGGGGAAACCCTGTAAGTAGAACTTAGCCTTCAGGGACCCTGTAGCATCCATGATGTGTTCTGGTTAGCATCTTCATGCTTGGAAATCTAGATGAAAAGAGAACCTCTGGCTGGGTATGGTGGTACTTGCCTGTAAGCCTTGGGAGGCAGAAGCAGGCAAATATCTGGTTTACATAGCAAATAACCAGGCCAGCCAGAGCTACATAGTGAGACCCCTGAGTGAGAGAGACAGACAGAGACAAAGAGACAGACAGACACACCTCTGATACTGTGGATGAAGAGAAATCTTGACATTGCTTATTGAAACTCAGAAAATAACAGAGAACCTCATGAGTGCAGTAGAAATCCTCTAACTTGTAGTTCCCACCTCAACAGCATAGCTATTCAGAGAATCATGCAGTGAAAGGAACTCTGTGGCATGATACCCATCTTGGTACCTCAGCAAAGAACCTTTTCTAGAAATGACTATCCCAACCACTCCGGTCATTGTTCCCATTCTGAGAATTAAACCTTTTGAAAAGAAGTTGACTTGAAGTTTCTCTCTTTGGCAAAATTGGAGTTCAGAGGATAAATGGGATGTTTTCTTGCTGCTGCCTCCAGTTTACAGCTTCTCCATGAAGCACAACCTGTTTTCATTTTGATTCTACTGGCAACAAGGTCAGCTAGTGTAAAGTACTTGAGGGTCAGCAAGATGGCTCAGTGGGTAAAGGGCTGGCCACCCAGTCTTGACATTGATAACCTGAGTTCAGTCCGTAGGAGCCACATAGTGGAAAGAGAGAACTGGCTTCTGTAAGTTGTCCTCTCATCTCCACGCAGGTGCTATGGTACTTGCATACACAAACACACACAATTTTTTAAGAGTTTGACTTAGGTGTGGTGGCATATCTCTGGAGTTTGGGGCCAGCCTGGTCTATATAGCAAGTTTCAGGCCAGCCAGAGCCAAACAATGAGATCTTGTCTCAAAACAAAGTGGAAAGCCAGGTGGTGGTGGCGCACACCTTTAAACCCAGCACTTGAGAGGCAGAGGCAGGCAGATCTCTGTAAGTTTGAGGCCAGCCTGGTCTACAGAGTGAATTCTAAAACAGCCAGGGATACACAGAAAAACCCTGTCTCAAAAAGCCAAAAGGGGGCATGGAGGAACAGAAACAAAATTTTTTTAATTGAAAAAAGTTTAATTTGTAAATGTATGAGAAATGAGTGATGCTGGTCAATCACATAAGTTACAGGAGGGGGCTTTGGAAAGACAAAAGAAAAGACAGGCTGATTTATGGACTGGCTTACAGTATAGATAAAGTGAACAGCTAAATCCATCTAATGAATAGGACCAAGTTTTATTAAAGGCTTTGGCCCTTGTGTGCCTATTCACAGCTAGATGGTGTAGCGACTCAAGCTGACTTCAACTCATTATGTAGTGGAAGATGACGTCGAATTGATTCTCCTGCCTCCACCTCCCAGTGCTGGGATCACAGGTGTGTACAACCATGCTGGGTTGTATGTAGTTCTAGGGATCAAACCCGGGGTTTCATGCATTTTAGACTACCAATTGAGCCATATCCCCAGCCCCACCCACTCTGTCCAGCTGCCAGACCATTTTAACTACTAAGTGTTCTGCTGACTTTGCACAGACTGCAGTTGCCTCACCCAGGACTTCTCCCCTTTATGCCTCCAGCCAGTGGCTGATGTGATCTCTAAAAGTCTGATTCATTTGCCCTACGGGGGAAAACCGCTGCTGCCTGAGCTCCAGAGCCCTGCTGGGGATCAGGCCAAAGTTAAATTCTATCAGAACCACACTCATGCTTGATGCTCTTCACTAAATCCGGGCACACACATACCAGGGTGTGTGTGTGTGTGTGTGGAGGTCAGAGGACAACCTTCCACTTTGTCTGAGATGGGGTCTCTTGTTATTCACTGCTGTGGATGCCAGGCTGGCTCTGAAGATTGCCACCATTCTCCTGTTCCAGTAGGGGTATGCCGGGATTTCAGCTCCTTGTGCTATTGCATCTGGCTTTTTAAAAGTGTGTTCTGGGGGTCTGAACTCAACATGTCAAGCTTGTGCAGCACTTTATTCACAGAGCCGTATCCCCAGACTTGCCCCATTCTCTTTTATTGCTTTTCTCAAAGAAGTGTTTTGGTTTGTTTGTTTGTTTGTTTTTGAGGAGCATGTCCTTAGTCACATGGCTCTGACCCCTGTCTCTGGTGCTGCTTGGTCTAAGACAGTTGGTGCCATTCATTGGTGGGCTTGGGAAGTAACTTGGTCACTCACTATGAGGCAAGGAGGACTCTTGATTGATGATGGCTGGAGTGTTTATTGACAATCCTTGGTAAGGTGGTCCCTGTTCAGTGGCTGACATTGACCTGTGAAGTGGGGTGTGATATGGGCTGGGGTGGGGTGATAACTTGAGATGTAATTTGCAGCTATACTTACAGCCCGTAGATTAGATAGAGGCTAGAGGCTACTTCCTTCAAGGAAGAGTGCAAGAGGATAGCATCATACGGAGCCCCCCCACCCACCCAAAGTGGCCTGTGACTGGCTATTTATTAAGGTAGGTGTACTCTATAATAAAGGGAAACACTCAAAGTTCCATTTTCCTGACCCCTTACAATACAAGCATATGGGAGTCAGGTAAATGGAATCCCAGCCCAGGTCTGTATCTGATTCAATGGGTTGCATGAGCTTCAGTAAATGACACTGCCCTTTCTTGTGTGCCCCATACTCTAGTTTTGATCTTTGGCTTAACATTTATCTATCTATCTATCTATCTATCTATCTATCTATCTATCTATCTATCTATCTATCTATCATCTATCTATCTATTTATCAAGATAGAGTTTCTCTGTGTAACTCTGGCTGTCCTGGAACTCACTCTGTAGACCAGGCTGGCCTCAAACTCAGAGATCTACCTGCCTCTACCTCCTGAGTGCTTAGATTAAAGGCATGCGCTACCACCACTGGGCTTGGCTTAAATTTTTAAAGATTTATTTAAATTGTGTGTGTGAAAGGCTGACTCTGAGTGGGACAAGAGAAGAGAGAGAGAAAGCCATGATGGTGTGGGCTTTATAAAGGATATACAACTCATGGCCACAGTGGAAATGTGTCACATTTGGTGCTTGGTGGTGGTGTGGCTGCTGGTGCTGAGTTGCTGAAGGTGGGCTGGGGGAGCAGCTGGTTCTGGAATGTGGGTGGTTCTCAGTTTACCAAAATTCCTCCCTCTTATTTATTATAAAGGGTGAGGAAGCCGGGCAGTGGTGGCGTACGCCTTTAATCCCAGCACTTGAGAGGCAGAGGTAGGCGGATCTCTGTGAGTTCGAGGCCAGCCTGGGCTACAGAGTGAGTTCCAGGAAAGGTGTAAAGCTATACAGAGAAACCCTGTCTCGAAAAAAAAAAAAAAAGGTGAGGAAATAGGAAGGGGTGACTGGTGAGGCAGGAATGGGGGTGCTGTGCTGTTTAGACTGCTTCCTGATGTCTGGGAGCATAGACATCTTTGGGAACTCAAGAAAGCTGGGGTACTGGCCAAGTCTGGGAAAAGCAGGCTGTTTCACTCACTGTCCAGCCTCTGCAGGACCACCTGGGGCTAGGGAAGTACAGGCTGCATCTGCGAGGCTGGGCCTCCTGAGGCTAGCTGCTTTGAAGCAGTCCTGGATGCAGATTTTGAGGGAACACCTGGAGCTAGCAGGTTGTTGGAACAGATATATATTAGGGACAGAAAGTAAAGTTAAGGGATTTAGGGGAATCTTTTTCTTAGGTGTGTATTTGAAACTTTAGGCCCATGGTTCTGGTAGTTGGGGGAAGGGAATCCCAAGACCAGCGAAGGGGTCGGGGAGATCCCATCCACAGGAATAAGCAGAACAGGCCAGTGGGGGAAGCAGGCTGTTGGTTGATTGTACTTATCTGGAGTCTACTTGACCTGTGAGAGGTGGATTTAAGTTGATTCCCCAAAGCTTACAATACTTTTTTAAGTTTACAGAAAGATGAGTTTTAGATATATTAGCATTACCACTGTTTGTAATCTGTGCTGAAATTCACATTGTATAAAAGGCTGTAGACTTACACCTTTGAATCACAGTAGAAGCTTGGGGACACAAAATGATTTGGGTTAAAAACATGAACACTCTTTCCTCTATCCAGAAGAAAATATATATGGGTATATATAGATTAGACAGATGTTTTTAGCAAAATGAGAAGCACTTTTGAGTCCATACTTACAGACAACCAAAGGAAATTTAATATGTGACTATGATAATAGTAGTCAGTGCTTACTGGAGCTAGGTTAGTAGCTTACTGGAACTCCACTGATTAATGTTAAAACCCTGAACTTTTGAAGTCAACACAACAATAGCATAGAGAGGGAAAGAAATCTGAAACTTTTGCATTTTTCTATATATCTTAAATCCCTTTTTATATCTTTACAAATCACATTTACACACCTTAAGACACTTTCTTGGACCTTTATAACTTGCATTTACATACCTTAAAACATTTTTTACAACTTACTTAAGCTTTCATATCCTCAGACCTTACATAAAATACACTTTTTTCTGTCCATTCATTTTCCCTGAGACACAGGTGGCAAGAGTGTGGCATTTGAAGGTGCTGAATTCTATAGAGGGAAGAAAAATCCTAGGACAGAAATGTGAACAACTGAATGCACTGAGTCTCCATACGGCATTGAATCCAGGCTTCTTTAGGCAAATGCTCTGCTCTTGTTACATTTACAGTCCCACCTACGTTTATGGAAGTTAAAAAGATGCCCTAGATAGCCACTTCAGCAAAGTGTAATGACATTCCCACATCTGAAAATATGGCTCCCTCCATCCATCTTATCTAGTTGCCTGGTGTATAACATCAGTGCTAGCCAATGTGGGCAGTTAACCTAATCAAGTGAATTAATCCAAGGAATAAAGAGAACTGCAAGTTATTAATGAGTGCTTTGAAAGTAGACAACATGGGCTTCGCTCAACTCTATTAAAGTGTCACTTTTAAGATTTTTATATAACTTAAAAGCATAGTGAAAGACAAATGTAAAGAGTACTAGCCACATAGTAAGAGCTCAAAAAGTTCATGGGGCCAGTAAGATGGATGCCTGCTGCCAAGTCTGATGACCTCAGTTTCATCCCTGGACTCCACATGGTAGAAGGAGAGATTTGACTCTCACAAGTTTTGCTCTAACTTTCACGTGTGGGTGGGTCTCAGTTTACCAACAGCTGGAAATTGAACTCAGTTTTTTTTGTTTGTTTTTTGGCAAGAGTATATTAAGTGCTTTTAATCACTGAGCCATTGCTCCAACACCTTGTTCTTTGATTTGATTTAAGACAAATTAAAGAAATGTTTTCACTTTTTTCTACCCTTGTTCTGTACCATGCTACAACTTCATCAGAGAGAGTAGCTCTGGAATGTAGATGGATTTTTCTTTGGGCCACCAACTCACAAATAATGACACAGACAATTGTTATTAATTATGAAAGTTCGGCCTTAGCTTAGGCTTGTCCCACTAGCTCTTATAACTTAAATTAACTCATTTATATTAATC